TATGGCTTATTTCACTTAGCATAACACTCTCCAGTTCCATCCACGTTGCTACAAAGGGCCATATTTCATTCTTTCTCATTGGCATGTAGTACTCCATTGTGTATATAAACCACAATTTCTTTATCCATTCATCAGTTGATGGACATTTAGGCTCTTTCCATAATTTGGCTATTGTTGAGAGTGCTGCTATAAACATTGGGGTACAAGTGCCCCCATACATCAGTACTCCTGTATCTCTTGGGTAAATTCCTAGCAGCTTAATCACCTTTTTAAAAGCTCTGTCTCCAAATATAGTCACATTCCAAGGTGCTGAGGGTGAGGGGTTCAACAGATGAATGTTGATGGGTTACAGTTCAGCCCATAACAGGCATTTATCTTAGGAGTGGAATTGCTGGGTCATGTGGAGACCCTACATTTAACTTCTTGAGGAAGTGCTAAGCTGTTTTCCAAGGTGACTACCATTTTACATTCCCAGCAGCCATGTGTGAGTGTTCCAGTTTCTCCATGTTCTTGTCAACTCTTGTTATTGTCTGTCTTTCTAATGTGGTATCTCACTGTGGCTTTGATTTGTATTTTATTGATGGCTGATGATTTTGAACATTTTTTCATGTGCTTACAGGCTTTTTGTTTATCTTTTTGGAGAAATATCTATTCAATCCTTTACCCATTTTTAATTGGCTGTCTTTTTATTGTTGAATTGAAAGAGTAATTAATATATTCTGGATACTAGACCCTCATCAGATATATGATTTGTAAGTATTTTTTCCCTTTCTGTGGGCTGTCTTTTTATTAGTGATTATGTGCAATTTTTCTCCTTTGGTTGCTTGTGTTTTAGGTGTCATATCTAAGAAGCGATTGCCTAATTCAAGGTCACGAATCTTTACACAATGTTTTCTTCTAAGAGTTTTATGATTTTAACTCTTACATTTAGGTCTTTGATCTATTTTGAGTTTTTTGTAATGTATGGTGTGAGGTAGGAGTCCAACTTTATTCTTTTGCATGTGAATATCCAGTTGCCTCAGCAACATTTATGAAATGACTATTCTTTTCTCATTGAATTATCTTGGTACCTTATTGAAAACCAGAGGACCATAAATGTATGCATTTATTTTTGGGCTCTCAACTCTGTTTATTTGATCTATGTTTATGCTACTTTCACACTGCCTTGATTACAGTTGCTTTGTAGTAAATTGTGATAATGGAAAGTGGGAGTTTTCCAACTGTATTCTTTCTCAAGATTGTTTTGGCTGGTGTGGGTTCCATCTTAATATGAAGTCTTCCAGTCCATGAACATAGAGTTCTTTCCATTTATTTAGGTTGTTTTTAATTTCTTTAAATATTTTGTAGTTTTTCACTGTATAAGTCTTGCATGTTTTTTGTTAAATTTATTTAAAATATTTTATTCTTTTTGTTGCTACTGTAAATTAAATCATTTTTTAAATTTCATTTTGTATTATTCATTGCTAGTGCCCTAATTTACTTTTTGTTTTTTTTAGATTTTATTTATTTATTTATTTATCTATTTATTTATTTATTTATAAGCAATCTTTACCCCCAATGTGGGGCTTGAACTCTCAACCCCAAGATCAGGAGTCTGAGTCAGCCATGGTACTGAGTCAGCCAGGTACCCTGATGTAGTTTTAAAAAAAAAACAAAAACAAAAAAAACCCCCAAAACAACAAAACTGTGCTAAAATGCACATAGGTTAAAATTTACCAAGTTACTTATTTAAGTGTACAGTTCAGTGGTATTAAGGTAAATACCTTCACATTGTTGTACAACAGTTCACTAGAACTCTTCTCACCTTGGCTGAATGACTTTTAATTTGAAAGATTTACATGGACTCTTAACTCTTCATTTAAGCTGTGTCTTAGAGTTTTACCTCTCTCGAGCCTGTATGAAATCTCCCGGATGGAGTAGGTGATGTGGATAGTTATTTGGTAACTTATCAAATATATTGATTTTTTTTTTCTTTTCGTATCTATACATTTCTGGGTGTGTGTGATGGAAACAGAAGCTGAAAGTGCTGTATTACTTAGCTTAGCTTCTTTGATGCTGAGTCAGTCCTGTAAAAGGTTGACATTGGGTATTGAGGGAGAACTCTTTTTTACTGAAACACATTAGTGGCCAGAATGAACTGAATCTGTTGCCTGTACTTCCGGGATTATGGGATGTGGGGTCTGTTTGGATTTCTCACAGGGACCACAATTAAAGCAGGAACAGAATCCCGTGTGATACAGAGTGGCAGTGAATCATTACTTTTGGCCCTTTGACTTTGGTTCCTTGCAGCCCCACAAAAGGTCTGTCTAAGGCTTCAGAGAACTGCCTGAACCCCAGTGTTATATATGCTATAAATATTCTCTTCAGGAGGTCTAAGATATGAAGTTAACATTTGCTAAGATGGATTTTTACATGCTCCAATTTTAGCATGAAAGATGTGAAACTCTATTTGGCAAACTATCATCCAAATAAAGTTATATAAAAAAAAATGAATTTCTTAGGTTCATTTCATGGACTAATTTTATTCAGCTCTTGATTACATTTCCTGTGTATAGAGCATGTTTTACACTTGGTAACTGACTCTCATTTAAAGAGAATGAATGGCCAAATTAAATGAATGTCCTTCTGCAGTTTTCAAGTGCATGCATTTCTGATTGGTTTTGTTTGCCTTATTCAATAGAGAGAATAATTCTTTGAGGCCAATTTCATTTTAAGAGGGTAAGTTCAGTGATTTTTCATAATTTAGAATATGAAAAATTACGCTCCCTTGTTTGTATCTGATGGAAACTCAGAGCAGAAATTTTGGCTTTTTTCTGTCTCTGACTCTGCCCACTGCTTCCCAGAATGTTTTGGACAAGTGTGCTGTGCTGAATTTTATGTAAATAAAATTTTCTTTTTTAATTTTTAAAAAATGGCTGTTGTGTCTTTTTGAAGCAATAAAAAAAAGGTGGAGGGGGGTAGAAATATATTTTAAAAGGGGTCGTATTTTCCTTTGCTCACCCTTACCAAGCTATGCGAGAGAAGAAAGTCCGCAAACGATAGTTGATCTGCAGTTGTACTAGTGTGGAGATATACCTGTATATAAAATAACTGACACCTATATTACCGGTTATTTGGAATTTGCTTAAATAGGGAGGCATTTGTTTATTAACGGTAACTGACATTGTCCCACAGTTTTTGGAACGTTCATCAGGTTACAGTGTATAGCTTAAATACTTTTCAGTTATTCAGACCTTTTATTTCTTCAGTGCAAATTTACGTTTTATGAAATCAGCAGATGCACTAACAGTATCTCAAATGATATTAAGGGCCATTGTACTCAAAATGAACAGCTGTTCTCTCTCCAGAGAACAAGAAGAAGTGGGTTTAAATTATAGGAGGAGAGATTTTGGTTGGACATAAACGTAACTCCCTCATATTAGGGGAATTAAGATATAAATCTTTATAGCAGATATTTATTAAAACAGCAATGCCTTACATTTCATTATGTGCTATGTAGATGCATTGGATTAAGCACTTTACGTGCATTGTTTATACTTACCAAGTCCTATGAAGCAAACACTGTTATTTCTTCCGTTTTGTAGATGAGGAAACGGAGGCTCGGATAGGTTAAATAACTTACTAAGGTGACACAGGTAGTAAGTGAGAGACCCAGAGTTCGAAACCAGACCATCTGACTCTAGAGCCTGTGCTTTTAACCACGTGTAATAGGATAAAGCAAGGCTGTCCGTTGGGTTGAGCACTCGCCATGGGTGGTGAATCAGTTACGGACAGTAATGGAGAACCGGAAGTAGAAGTAGAAGCAAAGAGGAGTGCCTGGGTGGCTCAGTTGGTTAAGCGTCTGACTTCAGCTCAGGTCATGATCTCGCAGTCCGTGAGTTTGAGCCCTACATCCGGCTCTCTGCTGTCTGCGCAGAGCCCATTTCAGATCCTCTGTCACCCTTTCTCTTTGCCCCTTCCCCCACCCCCTCTGTCTGTCTCAAAAATAAATAAACATTAAAAAAAAAAAAATAGAAGCAAAGTGCCACTATCACGATTTGGTCAAAAGTTGACCATGTGTCAACTTGAAAGAAGTGAGCATGTGTCCCTGATTTTTTTTCACTAGGTCATGAATCCTGTAGAAAAACAATGTGGTTCACATGTGAATTGCTTATGGCAAAAATTTTGGAAGTTCAGAATCCTATTGGGATAACAAAGAAGTTTCTATATTATGCAAAAAACTCAAAATTCAGCAAGAACTAACAAGACCTGGGGAAGATGCAGAGACAGACAGTACAAATACAATTAAGGAATAAAGAAAACTCAGTCTTGTAAGAAATCAAATCAATGCAAATTTAACCATCATATGCTATGAATTTTTAGTAAATTAGCAAAAATTTATAAAATGTTAATACCCAAAGCTGGTACTCTCATTCATTACTGATTGCATTTTAAAGTAGTATGTTAACAGAATAAAATGGTTCAATCAGTAAATAAATCTCTCTCTTTCCTGGCACTAAGTCAGTAAATATGAAATGCACATACTTATTTTTCTTATATATCGAGAAGTATATTTTATTGAGCTAACCCGCAATGCACAAGAAATGCTTTGTATTAGATATTTTCCTTGTTAACCACAGAAAAAAATAATTAACAGCTGCCGAGCAGAAATGCTTATTCAGTGTTTTTCTTCAAATTATTAACTATGAGAGATGTATCTTAATTGCCAACCCATCTCAAGCTTAAATTGCATAATAATCGGTCAGTAATCTCATTGTTTCTGTATAATTCTGTGGTCTGAAGGAACATGCGAATCTTATATGTGAGTATTCTTAAATTTGATATTTATTCCTTGCTATGGACTCCCTGAGACTTTGGGAAAGCACTCTTTACTTCGAAAAGTAAGGAATGATGGAATTGCTTTTATTAAAGGTGTGCTTTGATAGTTTTAAAATTTAGTTTGTATATATTTACTGTATACATAACTGGACAGATAACTACAGTAATAAATCATTTTACAGGTATTCACAGTTTTATATGGAAGATAGCTTTTGCCGTTATAACATGTTCAACCATCACTTCTTTGATGGAAAGGTAAGAATTATTACCGTCATCCTTCTTACTGTGGAAGAACAAATTCGAGAGCACCTCCTTTCTTATTTTCTTTGAGTTCCTCAAGATCAGACTGTGGCTGTCTCACCATTTATTGGTGTGTAGTTTTCTTCATCCACCGAGTGTGTGTTGAGCCCCTAGAAGCGATTGTACTCTTGTTCTTTTGTGACTTTTTGCTGCTTTGCAGATAAAGACCCACTTTCTTACCAAGGCCCACGTGGCTCAGCCTGAGCTGACCCCTGCCACCCTCCAGTGGCTCTCTTTGTTCCCTGCTCTGCTGTGTGTGTGTTCGTGTTCAGGATGTCTGACTTTCATCTCGGAGTGGCTTCTCTGCCCCGGGGGCTTTTGTCCACGGTGTTTCCTCTGCCTTCTGGGCTCATTTTGCCTTGTTAAGTTCACCTTATCCTTCAGAGCTCTTTTCCAAGCCACTTTCTCTAGCCTCCCCTGGCCCCCAGACAAGGTCAAGTTCTCCTTTGTGCTTTGATACTATAATTAAATAATCCTGTGGTAAGTTGTTTGATGTCTGCCTCCCTGATAAATATTAAGGGGGTTTATGGTTTTATTAAACTAATTCTTAAAAATTAGACTGTGTCATGGGGCGCCTGGGTGGCGCAGTCGGTTAAGCGTCCGACTTCAGCCAGGTCACGATCTCGCGGTCTAGGAGTTCGAGCCCCGCGTCAGGCTCTGGGCTGATGGCTCGGAGCCTGGAGCTTGTTTCCGATTCTGTGTCTCCCTCTCTCTCTGCCCCTCCCCCGTTCATGCTCTGTCTCTCTCTGTCCCAAAATTAAATAAAAATACGTTGAAAAAAAAAATTAATAAAAAAAAAATTAGACTGTGTCAGGAGTGAACCCTAATCTACGAATGGTGTGTCAGTGTGGGTTCATTAGTTGTGCAAATGTACCGCTCTGGTGGGGGATGGTGGTAGTGGGGGAGGCTGTCCATGTGTAGCAGGGGATGGCATCTGTCAGTACTATGATGTTAGTAACGTCACTATGAATAAACAACATAGCAGAGCTGATACTTGCACTCCTAGTTTGAGCTCTTTGTTAGTCTTATTACAATATAAAAACTATACCCAACCAAGTAATGACACCTGACAGGAAGTTGGCCACACTGTTTGAAATTATCAAGACTACTTGAAGCACATATCCATATATGTATGTATATCAATTTTCCAGAAATTCTGAACCATGTATATGTATATATTATGTTTTTAGATATTAACTGATGATAGAACAAAAACCAAGCAAAACTAGAACACTAAGCATCCAGGAAATGAAAGCAAATTCTAAATTGTTGTTTGGGATTGAGAAATGAGTCTCCTGATTCAGTCTAGCCAGTGATGCACTCCTTCCACGAGACTCAGTCAGCATTGGGTTCTACATTTTTTAGCTATGATAGCCATAAAAACCAAGTATTGAAATAAATAGCAGTTAGAACTAGACATATTGCAGAGTTTCCCAAAGCAGTTATGTGGTCGATCATCTCCAGGATTTGAGAACTGATTAGATGAGTGTGAAGGAGAGAGAGGTATTGAAAACTCACTTGACAGTGGACGATGATGGGCTTCTCAACTAGGACAGTGGCAGTGGGAAAAAGAGAGAGGTGGATTCTGTGGGCTTCCACAGATGGAAACCAGAAGACTTGGTGGTAAGTATACTGGGGGAGAAGTCCAAGAGGATATGGTGGTCCGGCCTGGATTTGTATTTCATTCTTCAAAACAGAGGGTAGGGAAGTTTGGAAGGGAGATTTGGAAATGTCAAGTTTCTGGAGCTGGTGAAATGTTGATTTAGGGGTATTGAGTATGGCTTCTTGAAACTGGGGGACCTCAAGCTCAGGAGTGTGGTCAGGGCTGGGTTCAGAGTTTGCGAAGTAATAACTGAGTCTGTGTTACTATTGCTTGATACCGCAGTAGTGGGTCGGGTTTGTTCATTTGCTTATTTGTTTTTAATACTATACCATGATTTGCATTCTATTTTGAACAATAATGGTAAGATAAGAGTGAAGTTACATTGAAATCGCTAACCATTGGCTAACAGTATCTTATATGTTAAGAAAGTAGCATGTGATTCACCTTTCTGTAGGAAATTCTTTTGAACTTTTATTGAAAGCTTATGGAAATACCTTAAAAGTTTCTAGAATAATGGTTGGAATAAGCTGCCAAGACCGAGCTCCACTTTATCTTTCCCAGAAGAAAACAATCGTCTAGCTCAGGCTTTCCTCTCTCTATATTTTAGGAGCAGCCTCTAAATAGCACTGCAACTGTAGAGATTGATCTACAGAAAACTATTGTCTTGATGATTTTACCGTCTGCCCTTTTTCTGCCTGCTTCCTGAGTCAAAGGTTTTCAGTAGAGATTTACCATCTACTAATCCATCACTGAGTATTTAAGCATCTACCAGGCGCCTGTAAAGGTGTGCAGGGAGCTTTCGGGGATAGAGGTCTCTGTCTCTGCAGGTAAGAACTTCACAGTCCACAGGATTAAAAAGCAGGTGTTCCTTGTTTCCCAGAGAAAATCATATAGTCTTTCAGGTAATGGGAAGTGTCATATGCTTCAGTGGTCAAGGAAGTTGAAGCAGGTCTAGAGGGAAGTTATTTAAAGTACCAGGCACTTTTTTTAGTGATGATTAAGGTATAGGGAAGAGTTAAGTTGTGTCAGCGTTGGTGGTGTCAAGCATGCGTTTCCCATAGGTCCACAGCAGGACCCTCAGCAAGTCACGATGGGATGTCCCACCATTGGAAACAAACATACTCGACTGGTTTGGGCCATCCTGCCATTGGAGACAAATGCACTCTTTACTGGTTTTTTAATTTGGTTAAGAGCTTAGATTTCACTTACTTGTTCCTTTTCCTTTCCTACGTTTAAGCCTAAGGAATTTGAAGGTTTTTCAATAACATCATCTGTACTTGAAGTCCTTGTTCACGTAGGCAGGTTAAGGAAGTGCCAGGCACTACTTGAAAAATGATTAACCTTCCTGACATACCATCCATCGCCGTAGGACTTCGAGTAGGAAGTTAATAAAGACTCTCCTAGGGAAAGGGGATTAGGATGTTGTGGTTTTTCCTCTCATCAATTGGGTCTTCTAAATTGATTTAGTAGTAGAACAATATATATTTTATTATAAAGTACATATGGGCTGATTAAAGTTTAAAACGCCATTAAACTTTAAAGTCTTAGGCCATTTTTATAGTGTGTTGATTTGCTTTTATAGATGAGTACTTGAAAACTACTACAAAGTCGGTAGACTGGAGTTAGTATCATAGGTATATTTCTTACTAACTTCTCCCAAAGCAAAAAATAATAAATATCCTAGACAGTGGTTAATGTTAACTTTACAATGACTGAAAACAATTAGTCTGTTGGGAAAATGCGTTAATAGCATGGTTTCCCAGCCTTGATAAGCTTTGTTATTTGTCGTCTTTCATTTATTTACGTACTGTGCATGTCCGAATACATTTGTCATATACCCGGTGCTCAAGAACACATGCATGGAAACTGGTGACGTGTAGCTCCTATTAAACTGAACTCATGGTGGTGGACAAACCAGATAGGAAAAGAGTCTGTCTTATTCGTCTTTGTGTCTCCAGTGTTTAGCTCAGTCCCCGCTTCTGTTTGTGGAATTGAATTTAGCGTTTTAGATAGTCTTCATGGGTAATGAGTTTTTCTCTTTTAGGTTACTAAATTTAGTTTTTTAATTTAACCATTTGAAATGTGTAGTCCTCTGATAGTGATGGTGTTTGAATTTGCAATTTAAAAAACCCACTTATCAAGGAGCCCAAAGATAAAATCTTCTGGGGGCTGAATGAGAGAGGCTTCTGGATGTCACCGAGGGACTCTGAGGTGGCAGGATGGGTGAAGTTTCAGTACAAACAGGAGGACCGAGCCTAATACATCCTCCAGATAGGATGAAGTGCCTCCCTCTCGTCCTCATTTAGAAATGAATTTTTATTTGTTCCAGGCTGCCCTTGAAGTATGCAGAACATTTTTACAGGAAGATAAAGGTGAGGGAGTCATTATGGTGACAGATCCTCCTTTTGGTGGCTTGGTTGAACCTCTGGCTGTTACATTCAAGAAGTTAATTGCTATGTGGAAAGAAGGTCAAAGCCAAGGTGTGTAATTTATTACTTACTGCAAAACAAACATGTATCTGTGTATCTACTTCCTGTCAAATATTAGCAGAGCTCAGTGAATCAGAGCTCTGATAAAATATACATGTCTTGGGTTCTTGTGTTTTTCTAAAACGGGCTCATTTGAGAATGTGGCACACTTCATTATCATGATACACTTTGTATTTTCCTAATCATGTGTTCTCAAAATGACTTGCAGGTGAGCATAAGGGGACATTATGAAGAATCGCAGTAAACCGTTGTCATTTATTTAATAGATATTTACGGAGTACTGGGTACTGTTTGGGTGCTGGGAATAGAGTACCATGCGAGATGGGCACATTTCCCTGTCCTCGTGGATCTTACATTCCATGTTCCTAAAGTCCTGCCCAAAGCTCCTGGAGGTCACCCAGCCTGTGGCCCAGAGCTCTAAACTGTGCCAAGATTGGGGTAGAAAGATCGGACGTGCGCTGGCCTTACAGTGGTTATCAGCGATAGATACCCACGTAGATAGAGGTGCGTTAATGGCGGGGGGTTATTATTCATTTTAAAGTGGCTTAGGCCTTTGAAGTATTTTATGTAATTATCTAATTAGTTGGTACAATCATTTTTTAGCTTCCAGCTTGCAAGTTGATAAACTGTAAGAGCGCCAGGCTTCTTCGTTAATTGTGCTTGTGCTTTGGAGAGAGAATCAAACGAAATCTAAAACATGACTTACAGTATTAAGTATTCCACTTATTTTCAGATCTTAAGTCCACTTATCAGAATAGATAAAGTCAGCGTTATTGGGGAAGCAATAAAGAGCTCAGTGGTCTTGAATTTCAGTTCTGCCACTTATTGGCCGCATGAACTTGAACAAAATACCTAAATCTTATGGCTTCAGTTGCCCTGGCTATAAATGGGGTTGTTAACATCTAACTCTAAGGGTTATTGTAAGGAGATAATGTATAGAAAGTACCTAGTATTGTGCTCAGCCTCTACTGGGTGCTCTGCAATTAACAGCCATATCCCCAGTCTGTCATCAAAGTTAATGTGGATAAAATTGTTTTTAAGAATCTTCCATGATTTGGGAAAGAATTGATTCACCCCGGAAAAGCACATAACGAGTTGTGGCAGAGCTGTGTTCTGCCTTCCGGCCTCTGCCTTCTGGCCCGTGCTTCCTGCCCCACAGCACAGCCACCTTGCTCCTCACGTGATGCTCCCTTTCATCTCCCACTTTACTGGTGATATCTTTGCCTTTACTGGAATAGAGTGATATGTGTGTAAGGATTCCTTTTACATTTCCTTTATAGCTGTGTTTAGATCTAAAAGAACATTTCCACTGGCTCTTGGGAAAGATCAGGTTGTAAATGGCAGTCTAGTGAACATTCTCTTCTTTTGTATGATTTAAATGCATTGGATGTTTGCAATTTCTCCCAGTATCAGAAGTTTTTCAATTATAGCTGTTTTATTTTTTTTAATTTAAACTTCTTATTTTCTTTTCCTTTTTTTTTTTTTTTTGATCCATTAGATAGCAGTCACAAAGAACTACCTGTATTCTGGATTTTCCCCTATTTTTTTGAATCCCGAATTCGTCAGTTTTTTCCAAGCTTCTGCATGCTGGATTACCAGGTATAGTAAATATTCTGTTTTCGGGCATGACCGAGGAATGCTTAAGTAAATATTCTGATCAGACTATCCATCAGGTTTAGCATATGAAAATATTATAAGCTGTATTAAACACTAAAATTGTACCATATGTAGCTTAGTCCAGAGGTTCCTAATTGTAATTTTAGGGCGCTGATTAAAAATATAGATTCTTAGGTACCAAAATAAACCAACTAAATCAAAATTAGAGAGTAAAGCCCGAAGAAACCACATTTTCCCAGGCTTTCCGGGTGATTCTGCAGTGTAACTAGGTTTTAGACCGACTGACCTAACCTTTATCATCACCAGAAGATGCCACAGAACCTCAGAGTCATTGTTAGGAACGGGGATTTTTGTCTGTTCAGAGGTTGTAGAGAAGTAAGTCGCTTTTCTGGTTGGTGGCATGTCATGTACACTTTACTGTGTCACTCAGAGGATGCCAGGAGCTCTGAAGGGAGGCGTGTCCCAGGTAGCAGCATGTCAGAGAGGCAGAGATGCTGAGGTCTGTGTGTGGGGGTGAGTGTGCTGATTTCAGGGTGGAATTGACCAGCCCGCCCTCCCATCTCTGCCCTCAACTCCTTCTGCTTTAATGTCCACTTTCCTGTATTCATTCCCTTGGGTTCTGAAGTTAACCCGATTGTCACCATCACCATGTGTGGTCACCAAGTGGCCACTGCTTCCTCTTTTGTAGTGATATTTTTCTATTTGAGCTGCGGAGCAACGGACTACCTTTATGAAGGCTTTTCAGCCATAGAACTGAAAATGTCTTCCCTACTTGTTACAAGCTAGTGCTTGGATCTGAGCTTTCTAATCTTGAAGACATTTATCATGAGAGTGATGAAAATTACCATGTGAAAAAAGTTGTTATGTTTCTTTCAGAAACAGTGTTACCAAAAATGAGAGGATAGACCCTACCTGTGATTCTATCCCAAATAGCAAATATCATAATTTTCCGTGTTTGTCATCATAGCAGACAAATCTGAATTCTGTTTTCCCCCCTGTGTCTTATGTACGTGTACATTTGTAAGTGTAGCGCCATAGTTTTTATGCTTTTAATCACTTTAAATTATCTCATTAGCAAGTTATGTTATCAATTGTTATCATTCTTTTTTTTTTTTTTTTGGACTCAGATTGCTTCCACCTTTAAGGCACTATAAATACCACTGCCATAAACACCTTTTATTCAAATAATTTTTTCCATATTTTACACAACGTCCTTAAAATAAATTTCCAAAACCGAAATAGAATTCCAAACATTATGTTATCGAATTTAATGGACATTTCTATGGCTTCTGAGCCATATTACCAGGTTCCTTTCCAAAAGCGTATCTACACAAACCATTTTAACTTTGAATTCTCAAGCTCTGCTTTAGGCAAAGTCTATGTCATAATTCTTCCCGATTCCGGTTTACTTTCCTTTTTAGGACACACAGTTTTCTGTTTCTTGTCTGAGAGGTGCCTCTAGTGTGGACATTTGCAGAGCAGAGATAGCGGCCATATCCTAAAGATGTTAACCAAGGAAACTTCTCAGTTGGCAGGAGCGCCTGCTGCCTTTGACAGTGAAGAATCATGTGGCACGATGTTTGGCACAATAGTGGGTGCCTTATGCACGTTGAATAAATAACTGTCTGAAAACCAGTGTGAACTCCAGAGTTGAAAAGGAACTGGGTTTTAATCCTGGTTCTGCCCCTTACTAGCTAGGCCTGTACCTTTTATCTAACTCTCTGTAGCCCATGTGACCTATTAAATGAGCAGAGTAATAATCTATCTGCCTCATAAGGTTTTGAGAATTATATAACACACAAAAAGGCTTAGCCTCGTCCCTGACGCACAGCAAATGTAGATTAAAGGCTATTGGTCTCAGCATTGTTGTGACCATCACTTTATTGTCACCATTCAGACAGTCCCAAGGTGGGGGTAAAACTCTTCTTTCGGGCGTTTTTTTTTTTGTTTTTTGTACAGTATCTGAAACATTAAATTTGCAAAACGTAAGGTCCCTCAGAAAACTGGTCCATTCATGTTTATTTATTTTTTAATGTTTATTTTTGAGAGAGGGCGTGAGCAGGGGAGGGACACAGAGAGGAAGAAACAGAGGATCTGAAGCGGCTTGATTCAGCACTTGAACCCATGAACTGTGAGATCATGACCTGAGCCGAAGTCAGACGCCTAACCAACTGAGCCACCCAGGCGCCCTTCCAGTTTTCACTAAGGGCAAGAGTTTGAAATGGCAAGGAGCCCAAAGAAGGCAGATCAAGAGTAGAGTGGATGAGAGAAGTTACTGTGGAGAAACCAGTCATTGTTTGTTTTGACAGCCTGTGTTACTAGGAAGGAACCTGTGGGAATACTGGAGTCTCGCTGTTGAGAAATCGTTCCAAGGTCCAAGCTTATAAAAAATAATTATCCAGGGGAGCCCGGTGGCTCAGTTGGTTAAACGTCTGACTCTTGATTTCGGCTCGGGTCATGATCGCACATTTCATGACATCGAGCCCTGCGTCCGGCTCTGCACTGACAGTGAGGAGCCTGCTTGGGATGCGCCATCTCTCTATGCCTCCCTTGCACACGTGCGCGCTCTCTCTCAAAAATAACTGAACATTAAAAAAATGATAATTATACAATTCATTGTATTGGTGAAAAAAGTTTCTAATTAGGCCATATGTATCAGGGTAAAAAGTAGTCTTTTTGGTAAAGAGAAAGCCAAACTTTGAAAAGGAAAATTAGAATACAATCTGTGAAACAAAGAAAAATCTTTGTTTTTCCTGATTTCTACTAAAGATCAGAACACCACTGCCCTTTATATGCTCAGATGGAGAAATTGATTTTCACCGTATCTCCCATTGTGTTTATAAACCTGATTTGTTGTATCTTACCTTGATGGCCTGCCTTTCTTCCTTCCTTCCTTCCTTCCTTCCTTCCTTCCTTCTTTCCTTCCTTCCTTCCTTCCTTCCTTCCTTCCTTCCTTCCTTCCTTCCTTCCTTCCTTCCTTCCTTTTGATTTTTTTTTCTGGATTTTCTATTATTATCCTTTCTGACACTTTTATTTTCTTTCTTTTCTTTCTCTTGTTATTTTAACCTTACTTTGTGGTAGTTTATTTTCTTGTATATTAGCTGCCTGCATCAAATGAAATTTTGAAAGTCTCTTGTCCTCCTTCACAGGTCTTTTGCCATAGACCTTGATTAGACCTTCTTTCTCACATTGCCCAAGATGATTATAAGCTCCCAAACCATAATACAGTAAAAAAAAAAAAAAAAAAAAAATCACTAAATCTCTTTTTTTTGAAATACTTTTCGGGTAAGAAGAATGCAGAAATGCTGCAAATCTTCATAAAATATAAGTCAGACTCTTCAATGATAAAGCACTTGATGACTACAGAATAAAATAATCATCAAAGACCTAGAAAACTAAAAGTTCTATTAAGGGCAGATTAGAAAGGAAGGATGTGATAATGAGAAGAAATTTTGATTCACAGTCAGAAGTGTGAGTCCTAGCATACTGCCTTTTAGAGGCTCTTTAATCTTGGAAGAAGTCAGTTTATCTTTCCTGGTCTCTGTTTCCTTACCTATAAAATAAAATGATTGAATCAGAAAAGAGAGGGCAGATAAGTTTCACTTTTAGTGCTTTAGTGGTAAGCCTGATAAATTGGTAGTGACTTTCTGGAGAATTTGTTGAGAATACCATGCCTAGTGGCAGCGAGTAGTGTGTGATTGATTAGTGATGTCTCCCACAGGGACAGGGTCAGGGAGTAGTGGCATTCGGGTCCTGTATTTACCGTATCTGAACTAGATCACCTCACTTCCCTTCCACTGCGAACATGCAATGATCTCTTGTTTCTACTTCATCTGGGACATTTGTTTGGATTGTTATAAGTACAAACTTCGCTTTTTTTTTTTAAGCTATCTTTAAAAAAATCATCCTGTGTTAAACTTTTTTGAAATTTTTATTTTCATGTTCAGAAATGAAGATATTTTCACAGGAATTTCTGGCAAATGATTGCAAATTTTACAGGATGGCAACTGAAATTCTTAAAACTTGATATGTAATAAACAAACATGTAAAGGGTTTGGAGTGACAAGGGGGATAATATGTATATATATCATATATTAAAATATATATTGTATGTATATAATGTTTTATTAAAACTATTTTTTATGTTTTTTTTTTTTTTTATTTTTGAGAGAGAGAGACAGAGACAGAGCATGAATGGGGGAAGGTCAGAGAGAGAGGGAGACACAGAATCGAAGCAGGCTCCAGGCTCTGAGTTGTCAGCACAGAGCCTGACGCGGGGCTCGAACCCACAGACCGCGAGATCATGACCTGAGCTGAAGTCAGACGCTTAACTGACTGAGCCACCCAGGCGCCCCGGCACCCCTATAATTTTAAATAAGAGGTACATGGGATATGGGGAATATGACTAAAAGACCTTATTGCTCTGGTGGAAATTGGTTGATGGAGCTGAAGAGTTCACTTCAGACCTTTTGATACACTGAAATTAAATAAATAGATTATAGTCCTTAGGGAATGGGAAAATAAATACAAGTACTGTGTCTTTTTAATCTTTGTTTCCTGGAGGGATGCCTAAGACATAGTAGGTGCAAAATAAATGTCTGTTGACTTGAACGTCTTGGTGTCTGTATAACCAGTTCCAGTCTCATGTTACAGAAGAAATTTGCGTATAGATAAAATTAAAAGTTAAGAACTGCAGAGATTTTGTGCTTTCCCTCATTTCTATACAGTACTTCATCACATTAATCAGTTCCATGGGAGAAATTTTCTATTTGAAAATGCCTCTCATCATCATTGTGAGTGAAATGTCAGAGATAATGATGGGAAAATGGTGTATCAGCTCTACCACTAGTGATATGCAATTTGCAAAATTGTGTTTGCTTTACAGCGCTTCCTTCCATAGGACGTTTATTTGTGTGGATGAAGCTATGAAATATGGATGTATGTTAGAGGTACATTAATTTACCCTAGCAGCATGCATTTTACATACCATATGTTTATAGTTAATTAGCACAACAAACCCGCATTTAAAAATAATAATAATCTCAATTAGGTTATGCAAAATCAAGCAATCAACCACCTTCCTGACACATACATTCTCCAACTCCTGGGGTAGCCATAAAGAGATTGTTCTTTTTTTTCCCTCTCTTCTATCTGCCATCCGTTGTGTTGCATGGAATATTCCATTTCTTAGAAATTTTTCTAAGGTCCTCTTTTCCAACATTTGAAGATCTTCCTGAGGTTCTCTTGGGAAGGTTTTTTCTTTCTTATGATACTCATAAATGCTCAAAATATCTTTGTTGAATTTAATAAGGTATCATGTTTTTATTGAGTACATAGAGGAGTGTATTAGGGAGAAATTATGAATTTAAATAGGTTTAAAAGAAAACTACTACAGTAATATTTTAAGGTAATTTTGAAGTAAAACCTACTTTTGTATCTTAGCCTCTAATAGGTGACATATATTCATAGAATTTTAAAGTTGGAAAGAAACATGAGGGGTGTAACGTAGGCTAACTTTTCACCATAATAATCGTCTCTACTAAGTGAGTCACCGGCCTCACTTGAATGCTTTCAGTGAGCAAAGTCCTGCAGCCTTACAAGGCAACTCAATTTATTTAATAGCTCTAATCGTTAGAAAATTTTCTCATATTGAGATAAAATATGCTCCCCATTAACTTCTAACCATTGGTCCTACTTCTATTCTCCAAAGCAATAAAGGCTAAGTCTAATTTCGATTCCACTGACACCCCTTCAGTTATAAAACAGCTATCAGATCTTCCCAGTGTTCGCTTTTCTGAATAAACACCACCCCCAGTACGTTAAACTACAAATCCTATTCATTCCCATTACTTTTGGTAGAAATGAACTTGTTTTATCAGCGTCTCTCTTCATATGCAGTGACTGAATGCAGGTCTTCAAATGTAATCTAACTTCATCCTTTCCTTGTTATGATATTACACTTCTGCATAGGGCAGCTGTGAGCCCGTGTCAGCTCTCACACCGTCACGCTAGACCGTGGACTTACCATGCTGACAGTTAACCAGAACCCCCAGGGTTTGTCCCCGCCCCCTCCCCAACTGTCCCTTGTTTAGCTGGGTCTCCTCATGTGCCACTTATTTTCCCCCCACTGCTGAAGCTTATTGATGAGTCTTCCTGAACTTGTTCATCTGTTAGTCTGATAGCCAGCCACAGCAGGGCCATACAGAGAGCTCAGGAATTTCTCATTAAAGGCCCTCTCTTTCCATTGTCATTAAGTCCTTATATTTTTGTGATTTGTTTATTAAATAGCTAGCTTGCAAGCCAGTTCTTCTATGAAATTCTTAAGTGTATTCTTGTTTAGAATCCAAACAATTCAGTCTAACTTATTTATTTATTTTTTTAAAGTTTTATTTTTCAACGTTTTTTATTTATTTTTGGGACAGAGAGAGACAGAGCATGAACGGGGGAGGGGCAGAGAGAGAGGGAGACACAGAATCGGAAACAGGCTCCAGGCTCTGAGCCATCAGCCCAGAGCCTGACGCGGGGCTCGAACTCACGGACCGCGAGATCGTGACCTGGCTGAAGTCGGACGCTTAACCGACTGCGCCACCCAGGCGCCCCAGTCTAACTTATTTGAAAGTTGGGCTCTGCCTGTATTGACTTTATAAAAATCTCATGGTATTCTTGTGGATAATCTAGAACAACGGTTCTCAAATTTTAGTGTGCCAGGAAGGCTTGTTAAGAATACAGATTGTGGAGCAGCGGGTGGGGGTGCCTGGGTGGCTCCATCGGTTAAGCTCAGGTCATTATTTGTAGTTCGTGAGTTCGAGCCCCACATCGGGCTCTCTGCTGCCAGCATGGAGCCTGCTTGGGATGCTCTGTCCTCCTCTCTCTCTCTCTCTCTCTCTCTGCCCTTTCCTTGCTCATGTGCATGCTGTCTCTGTCTCTCAAAAATACATATACATACATACATACATACATATATACACACATACATACATACATAGTTCCTGTTAAAAAAAAAAAAAAAGAATGCAGATTGCGGGCCCTGACCCCCAGAACTTCTGTTTTCTTAGGTCTTAGGCTGGGGAGAATGTGCTTTTCTAGCAAGATCTCAGGGGCAGTGCTGGTGTTGCCAATCCAGGCATCGCACCTGGAGAATTACTGATCTAGAGAAAGATGGACTTAGTGACCAGGTGCATTCAGAGCAGGTTTAAAGCCAAAGAGAGAATGCGTATGGATAACAGAGAGGTTGGAGAAGGAGGCGGGAGCAAGAAGCCTATAGAAGCCGTGCCTGTTGGCTTCAGCTTACTTTCAGGATGAGCTGCCAAGGCTGAAAGCCGAGTTAGGGTGTTGAGGAGACGTAAATGTTTGAAACAGTCACAATTATAGTTGTGACTCTCTCTTCATCTCCATCTTTCTATGTCTCCACCACATGCCAGGCTTTGAACTCAGTATTTTACACACATTATCTCGTGTAACCTTCACAGCACCCCTGGGGCAGAAATCAGTAACCTCCTTTTCCAGGTGAGGATTATGTGAAGGTGCCTCTGGTCATAACAAGTGAGTGGCAGAGCCACTCTCTGGTCCCTGAACCTGTGCTCTACCAGGATGTGGGAGGTCACATAGTGAATGGTGGAGGGCCAAAGTAAGGCTGGATTGAGACTCGCTGACCTGACACCTGACAGGCACGCGTCTTCAGGGGTGGAATTTTTTTAGTGCCAAAAGCCAACTTCTTAATTACATAGTAGTCCTTCTTGTGAAGTCTGTTGTATTGGGTGAAAGATTACAGTTGTTCTCTCAATACTGGGCAATATGAACTTAGCATAACAAAGTTTGCCTTTTCTGTAATGAAATTTCACTTCCACAGAGGCCTCTCTGAGGCTGTTGATTAATAAGTAAACTTTTGCTTTTAAGAATTTTTTCGTAAGAGCCCCCTGGGTGGCTTAGGCGGTTGAGCATCCAACTTTGGCTCAGGTCATGATCTCACCGGTTCGTGAGTTCAAGCCCCGCATTGGGCTCTGTGCTGCCAGCTCAGAGCCTGGAGTCTGCTTCAGATTCTGTGTCTCCCTTGCTCTCTGCCCTTCCCCCACTCATTTTGTCTCTCTCAAAAGTAAACAAACGTTAAAAACAATTAAAAAGAAAGTTTCTTGTTAAATACTTTGGTTTAACTCCTAGTTGTTCTTTTTTGGTAAAGAATCTTCATAGATGTTCACTCATTTGAGTAAATGTTCTTTTTCAATTTTTTTTTAACTTTCTAGGTAGATTATGATAATCATGCACTTTATAAACATGGAAAGACAGGTCGAAAACAATCTCCTGTGCGTATTTTCACCAATATCCCACCCAGCAAAATAATCCTTCCTAGTGAAGAAGGGTACAGGTAAGATCATAGTGGGGCCTTGAAATACATGAGTCACTGAAAATAAAGTTCCATATATCTAACATTAAAATGATTCTCATATTGACTCATATAGTTCTTCTGTTACTTTTAAATTTGGTCTGTATTTTATATTGAATTGCATTTGGATTACACCCAACCTCTGTAACAAGTGCCATTTATCTGCTCTGTGAATCTTCATGAGAACATGCAGCTGAGTTAAGTCTGTTTCTTTCCTCCTTAGATTTTGCCCTTTATGTCAACGATATGTTTCCCTAGAGAATCAACACTGTGAGCACTGTAATTCTTGCACATCCAAGGTATAGGTTCCTATAGAATGCATTTTTATTTAAATATATTAGTTTTATTTTAGCTTACTAGCCATTACATTTGCTTAAGGTTATTTTGATAATATTATAATTTGTATTACCATAGTATCATTTGCTAAATGTACATTAATAGAGTATTTTATGTCTAATTATAAAGTACAACAGCCTTTGCATTCATCATCGTTAATGGTTATTTGAATTCACTTTGCTATGGGACTGTATGACTGCTAAAATTAGGAGTATTTTAAATAAGGCATGAGATGAGTGCTGAATTGTGTTGGGGATAAATTTAAAGTGTTTTAGGTAAAGTACTGAACTATTAGATGCCATCGGTATTTTAATGAAGTGTTAGTAACATACTGTGCACTTTTTATGTGCCATGCCCTTTCCTAAGGGCTGTGCATGGATGAATTCGTTTTTTTCTTTAATTAAAAAAAAATTTTTTTTTTTTAATGTTTATTTACTTTGAGGGAGAGAGAGACAGAGTGTGAGCAGGGGAGGGTCAGAGAGAGAGGGAGACACAGAATCCATAGAAGGCTCGAGGCTCTGAGCTGTTAGCATGGAGCCCGATGCAGGGCTCGAACTCGTGAACCATGAGATCGTGACCTGAGCCAAAGTCAAACGCTCAACCGACTGAGCCACCCAGGTGCCCCAGGTACTCTGCCAGTTTTTGCAGATAAGGAAGGACTGTAGGGACACACCTCCTGTTTATTGTTTTAAAGAGGTGGGATGACACTTAAGTTGGCCCATTTGTTTTAGCTAAATCCAGTCAGAAAGAACATAGGAAATTCAGTTTGGGTAATATACGCAAATCATTCTCCAAAGGAAAGGCTATATTTTTGTAACTATTGTAAAGTACAGTTTTCAAAACTCTATAATTTTATGACGGGTTATACTTGTTTTTAACTGTGGCAGCACACCTGATTACATGTATTTTCAATCAGTTTAGAAATTCTCTGTGTTCTTTATTTAAAAGAAAAAAATTACACCCAGATCATATAAAGCTCAAAATGAGGAAGACCGGACTTTATCATTTAGAGAGGCACACGTAAGTGGTAAAAAATAAACAAAAGCAAGGAAATGACCATCCCAGGAACCGGAGTAGGTGTTACTCAATGGGGAGGGAGGGGTTGCTGGATTAGAAAGGGGGGGTGTCTCGGGGCTGACAGGATTCCATTTCTCAGCCTGTTGGGATTCATCAGTCTGTTCTTTATAATTCTCATTAAATAGGACATGTGCCTTATACATGAAAGTGTCTTATACATTTTTCTAGGTAGTTCTATTTCCCGGTTTTAACATTACCCAGACAGTACCCTGTAATCTCTATCTTTCTAAATTATCTAAAATTCTTAAATGCGAATTTTATTAAGGATTACACCACATAGACATGTCAAAGTTATGAATCATTAATTCTCTTGAAATTTTCATTGAGTCCTTCTTTGTGCAGTATGGATTGCTTGAACTCAAGATCATGTAGATAAATCCCCTAGTTTTCCAGTTAAGGAAATTGGGGCCCATCAAGGCGGCCTTTGAGTTGAGTGGAGAAATGCATAAATTAAAATCAAAGTATTTAATTGTGAAGCCCAGGAAAGTGAGAAATAAGGAGTGAATAATTTACACAGATTTTAATAAGGCATTTTAATTTTTAATTGTGGAACTTGATTTTTATGATACATTAAACATCATTTAAAAATTATTTTTGTAGGATGGCAGGAAGTGGAACCATTGCTTTCTCTGCAAAAAGTGTGTAAAACCTTGTAAGTATTTAGACTTAGTGTTTGAAAACATTTCAGCGGTTTTCTTCACCCAGATAGGGTTTTTATTTAATTGTTTCTATAAGAGAAAAAAACTTAATATAGACACCTGCGTTGATTTTACCTGCTTTGTAGTTTTTGCAGTTACCAAAATGCACACTCTCTCCTTTATAGGGAGATATGACTGTAACCTATTTCAGTGTGGCATTTGGTTTGGCTTATTTTATTTTATTAATTTAATTTATTTTATTTTTTTAACATTTTTATTTACTTTGAGAGGGATGGGGGTGGTGGTGGTGGTGCAATGGGGAAGCGGCAGAGAGAGAGGGAGAGAGAGAGAATCCCAAGTAGGCTCCATACTGGCAGCGTAGAGCCTGATGTGGGGCTCAAACCCATGAACCATGAGATCAGGACCTGAGCTGAAGTCAAGAGTCACATGCTCAACCGCCTGAGCCACCCAGGTGCCCTGGTTTGGCTTATTTTAGTAGGGCTCTGTGTCCCTCAGCCAACCCCCATGGTGTCAGTGGCTCCCGCTCATGACTCCTTGAAGGGCTGCATTTGTTGCCATGTATCAGAAAGAAGTTTGCTGGTTTATGTGGGATTCCGACTCTTTACCTTGGCCTCTGTAGCCAAAGTATAACCAACTATGCAAACCAGTCACGGTAATTTGAAGTAATCACGGTTCATCCTCTCTATCATAAAGGTTGGTCAAATGAAAAATTATATTAAATGAACTTCTTCCAAAACTCAATTTTTATTTTATAGCCTGGATCCACTGTAGCCTTTGCGGTCACTGTGCTCTTCCAGATCATTCCTGCGGGGCCCCTAAAGACGGCTGCTTTATTTGTGGTGAATTAGATCATAAACGTAGTACTTGTCCTCAGATCACTGCATCTAAGAAAGTGATCAGGTAAGTTGAATTCTTTTATTGACTAGAAAAAGCTTTTCCTCATGTGATCCGTATAAAGCAGTCCACAAAGGTGAGCACTGGAGGATTCAGAAGTGTGAAATCGTTGGCTATTTTTACTGTTATGTACCTTTGTGTAGACAGTGGTGTGAGGACATGAAGATGAATGAAAAAGCCTAACATTTAAGACATGAAAATAACCAAAATACAAGGTAGAAACTGATTAACTTTGTATCTTTTGTGGTTCATGTGAAATTATAATTTGTGGGGAGAGATTTCAAGCTTTGTTTTTTATATATATTTTTTTAATGTTTATTTTTGAGAGAGATTGGGAAGAGAGAGCGGTAGAGAGAGAGAGAGAGAGAGAGAGAGAGAGTGCACTCATGCACGCACAGGCGAGGAGCAGAGAGAGGGAGACACAGAATCTGAATCAGGCAACAGGCTCTGAGCTGTCAGCACAGAGCGTGACGTGGGGCTCGAACTCACAAACTGCAAGATTATGACCTGAGCTGAAGTCAGATGCTTAACCGACTGAGCCACCCAGGTACCCCTGAGAGTTCAGGCTTTATTGACCGACATGATATTTAAGTCAGGGCAGCTGGGATGCAGACACGTGATAGGCAAGGCTGGAGAAGGCATTTCAGATGGAATGTGATTTGTAATCCCACAGTGAACACCTTGGAAAATGGAAGCTATCTCTTTAAATTCTGCAGACTTGGAAAAAAAATTTAGATGTATTAATATTTAAATATGTAAAATTTTAATTTTTACCATTTGTTTTCTATGATTATTTTCACTTCCACCAATATTTGGTGTTGGTTATAACTCAGAACAAAGTTATCCCAGTGACCACAGTGTATTTAGAAAAACCACTGCTGTTTCAACTGGGCTGATTTGAATGATAATACTTAAAAAAAAACCAAAAAAACTAAAAGGAATGATAGTTATTGAGTCTTCTTCTTTTATTGTTATGAAAACCAGATAGCCAAATTTAACATTACATGAGAATTGGGATCAGCATAAAATTTTTGAGCTATCTTATGACTTGTGATAAAAAAAATATTTCTTAGTATTAGAAATGTCTGATGCTATTGTAACTGTTTATAATTGTATTAGAATTCTTTGTCCATTTGTTTATTTTTTTGGACAGTGACAATTATTTTTTTCCACTGAGGTCCAGCTATTTGAATTCTGCCTACTGTTTTACTTTTCCATTACTTTTTATCAAATTTAATTGAACAATTATTTCCATTAAGTAATCCAGGGTAGAAATGGAAGTTGCTAAATTAAGAAATGTATTGAAGAATCTTATAAAAGAGTTTTTCTTAGAAACCTTTGAGAATTAAAGTACAACTCGGGGTGCCTGGGTGGCTCAGTCAGTTAAGTGTCCGACTCTTGATTTTGGCTCAGGCCAGGGTCTCATGGTTGGTGAGCCCCATTTTGGGCTCTGTGCTGACAGCACAGAGCCTGCTTGGGATTCTCTTTCTCCCTCTCTCTTTGTCTCTCCCCGCTTGCACACACACATGCACACACACGCACGCACACTCTTTCTCAAATAAATAAACTTTAAAAAGAATAAAGTACAACACAATAAACTATTGGTCTGGGATTGTTGCACCATTTACTGGGTAATTCTGGTTGCAAACGGAGTTAGTAACATGCTCAGACTTTGATCTGTATGATACATGGAAACTGAATTTGCATTTTAGTTATATATTGTAGGCTCTTTGTTGGCTCTTCAACAGCCCTGGCTAGTCTGCTTGGTAGTATTATATTGTTTTCGTTGAGGGAAACCATTTAGTATTTTTTAGTACTAGATTTTATCAAGTTTAATTCAAGGAGCAAATCCATTAGGATGTGGTATACCTGATAAGTCTTTCTTTTAAATATATTTTTTTAATGTTTATTTATATTTGAGAGAGAGAGAGAGAGAGAGAGAAAGAGAGAGAGAGATGGTTTGTGAGCAGGGGAGAGGCAGAGAGAGATGGAGGCAGAATCTGAAGTAGGCTCCAGGCTCTGAGCTGTCAGCACAGAGCCTGAGCAGGTCTTGAACTCATGAGCCGTGAGATCACGAGCTGAAGTCAGACGCTTAACCAACTAAGCCACCCAGGTGCCCCAAGTCTTTTTTTTTTAATGTTTATTTTGTGAGAGAAAGAGCCAGGGAGGGGCAGAGAGAGAGGGAGAGAGAAACCCCAAGCAGGCTCTAAGTGGTCAGTGCAGAGCCCCATTTGGGGCTCGAACTCACGAACCGTGAGATCATGACCTGAGCCTAAACCAAGAGTCAGACACTTAACCAACTGAGCCACCCAGGCACCCCTACCTGATAAGTCTTAAATAGTATTACTTTTTTCTCAGAATAGACTCCTGAACTGTTGACAGTTATCTTCAGGTATTTCTCTCAAAAATTTTTCATAATGAAATTGACAAGGTAAAATTTTTTCTTTACAATCGTAAAAAATAATTTTAATAGAGGCACCTGGGTGACTCAGTCGGTTAAGTGTCAAACTTCGGCTCAGGTCACGATCTCGTGGTTCGTGTGTTGGAGCTCCGTGTTGGGCTCTGTGCTGACAGCTCGGAGCCTAGAGCCTGCTTCACATTCTGTGTGTCGTGTCCTCTCTACCCTTTCCCTGCTCGTGCTCTCTCTCTCTCTCTCTCTCTCTCTCTCTCAAAAATAAATAAACATTAAAAAAAAATAGATATTTTATATTTTAGCATGTATGGCATAAAAGATATTTCATAGCTGTCTTATATTAATTTGTTTTTTTCTGAGTTTAATTTGCCTTTGCTCCTGAACTGGAATGATGCAAGCTCCCTCTTGTGGTTAATCGTTTTTATCATTACATAAATACCTATAATTTAGAGAACAGCTACTAGGTCAATTGAATTTTAAGGCAAAACAAAACAATTGATTTATACTCAATCAGTTCAGTTTATACTCATGTGAAAAATTTATCTCCGGAAAGTTTTGTTTATTCATATTAACAAGTGAACATATTCTTCTGCTTTTGTTTACTATATATTCTAGTGAAGTCTGGTCCGTGTTTAGTTCTTTTTGTAAGTGGATAAGCCAAAGAAAATTTATTCAAATTCTGTATACAGGCACAAACAGCTTCACTGACTTTGCCATCCAGACATTAGACTTCATTAAGTTTGCTAAATCATCCCTTGTCAGAACATTAGCCTACTTCAAATAATGACTGGAGGGAAAGGAGGTTTATATAACATGCACAAAACAGTGTATGACTGTAGCATTTGTTTTATTTCTGAACGGGTAGGCTATCCGAATCCATAATGCAAAATCTAAATATGGAAAAAGGGAAAGTTGTCAAGCAAAAGTCTGAATAATAGTCATGCGGCACTACTAATAACAGCTCGTATTTGTTTCGTGCTTACTGTATGCGTAGCATTTTACATATCTGAATAATTTATAGCAGAGTACATAGTATCAAGGTAATTAAGAACACAGGTTCTAGGATCTGGCTGGTCTGCCACTTCTTCATTGGACGATTTCATAGCCTCAGTTTCTTCCCCTAAAAAGAAGCTGGGGGAAGGAAAAGGAAAGGTGACCTCAGCCTTGTCTCAGTCTCCCAGATCCTTGGAGTCAAAGATTATGCCCACTCATTTCCATCACTTAATAGAGATGTTGTGTGGACAGAAAGCGAGGCTTGAGTTTGCTCCACTGAGGGATTATATATTGTTTATGGAGCTTCTTTCCTAGGTTTTGGTCCTGGGCAGATCAGAAGGAAGCTTTTCCCTCGGACTTGTGGTTTAGGAGAAGTGCATCTCGTGACCGATACTGCTGGGTAGCCTTGGGGATTTTCCAGGTTAGCTGGTGCTGGCAGCCCCAGCATTTTCCTTGGTTTGTAATGTGATAAATGGCATGATTCTGTAAGTGTGGAGAGAGAGAATGAACGGACAAGTAATCTTTCTTAGCTATAGATTGTCCGTAACTTAGTTCAGAGAGTACCAGAAGCTAAGGATCTGTTTTGTTCTGGTGTGCTTTAGTGTTTTCAGGGGGCGAGTTCCATCTCGTTTGTTTTGAAGCTAGTCTTTCGAGAAGACAGGGACCACAAAATATGGACATCCTGTGTGGCACTTGTCCAGACTTTTACACCCACCGAGGAAGAGAAAATTAGCCGTAGGGCTTATAAGATGGGCCTCCGTTAAGTGTTGTCAGTTTTTCCATCGTGCGATTTCATTTCTCCACCTCTGCTAACTGTCGAATGCGTCGGTCCTTTTCCTGAAAAATGTAATGCAAGGATTTGGAGATTGAAGTGCTGAGTTGAGCAGTACAGACGTACCAAAACCAAAACAACAGCAAAAACCAACAAACAGACAAAAAAACAAAAAAACAAACCAACCAAACAAAAAAACCCTCCTAACTCATTGGCTTTACTGTTTTTACAATTTAAAGGATCTATATCCCAAGTATTATTTCAATACATAATCAATGTAAACATTGGCAAAATATTTTGCATTCTTTCTTCAACATCCCGTGTGCACTTGACATAGGGAGCACATCGAACTCGCCCTCACCACATTCCAAGTGCTTGGATGCCACATGCTGGTTAGAGGCCACCGGACGCTCCAGCACAGCAGCGGTTTTTCCTGGCTTGACTATTTACCTCTGTGGTGTGTTTACTCGAATAGATTGTTCTGAATCTGTAGTAACCGTCTGTCAAGGAAATTTCTTTACTCCAGCATATTGTTTAGTGAGGCCTCAGACTACATCCTTGTTATTATGATTAGGGTTCTGAGGATTTATGCTTAGGATACAGTAAATTCTTTTCCTCCTGTTTTCTTATTTGGTCAGCTGGTTAATTAAATCCCAGCATAATTACATACATCATGCTTATTCTACAAAATAATTCAGCACCTTCTTTTTCAGAGCTGTCAGAAAGCAGAAGCAGAGGAAAAGTAAGAAGACGAAAATGGAGACCGTTAAAGAGCAATCCATGAATCACACATCTGTTACAAGGAAGAAGAAAAGGAGAGAAAGAGCCCATCAATATCTTTGCTCTTAAATGTCCAGTGACTTGAGAATAAGAAAGATTTATAGTCCAACCTTTGGTGCCATTTTCTGAAAGTGCCACACTGGACTTAAATTCTGTCGCTTTCAAAGGTATGTGCCTTTTGAAGCCAGAAAATAGGCAGGTGGCATTTGTTGGTGTCTGGGCCCCTCAGCAGCCTCTCTGGAGACCTGGGGAGTTGTCCCATCCTTAGCTGGTTTGCCAGACCTCTCTGTGTGCCTTCTTTCACTCTCCAAATCTGTCCCAGTCGTATCATCTGGCCTCTTTTGAACAATGGGCATATAGCATTCTTTTGCAGAAAGTGTCAGAAGAGGAATGAAAGGGGAGACTTGAGGTCTTGTTCATATTGAAGACGAGTGTGTTAAGTTAGACACAGGAATGTTGTAAGTCAAACATCAAAATACTGTATGATGGATTAAACCCCACTTGCAAAGAAAGGCACAATGAGCAATTATTTGGGGACAAAAACTGAAGATGATGGGAAGAATTTTCACGAGGATAGTCTAAAGATAGCAAGAGTATCATCATGGCTTTATGATTAAATATGGGTTTTTCAAGTACTTTTTACAGTGTCCTTTGATGGTATAGAACCGCTTAACTGTTGTGGAATGAATGAGACATTTAGAATTATGACTTGCTCTGTCATCTCAGTATCTTTTAAACCAGGCAGTAATTTTATTTCTTTAAAAAAAATTTTTTTTTAATGTTTATTCATTTTTGAGAGACACAGAGAGAGCATGAGTGGGGGAGGGACAGAGAGAGAGGGAGACACAGACTCTAAAGCAGGCTCCAGGGTTGGAGGTGTCAGCGCAGAGCCCGATGTGGGGCTTGAACTCACGAATCGTGAGATCATGACCTGAGCTGAAGTCGGATGCTTAACTGACTGAGCCACCCAGGTGCCCCAGTAACTTTATTTCTTTGTAAAAGTAGTAGCAGAAGGCAGCATAGTTTGGGGATTAAAACCTCTCATTCTTGTTCTGATGAACACTTCCTGACTATATGTCCTTGGCCAGGTCATTCACTCGTACCCGTTTCTTCATTATTATTATCATATAATTACTACATTATGTAATAATAGTTATACCACAGGCTGTTTTCTGTGATTATGTTAAATGAGGCACATGTGTCTGGCTCTCGTTCTGTTGGTGAGAAATGTTAAGTGCAGATGGCTGGGGTTGCAGCCCTAATGGTAATCATCTGGTGGTCCAGTATCAGCAGTGAAGGGACTGGGTTTGAATTCTGAGAACAAACAGTTCCTCTCCCTATTTCTCTCTAGGTATCTGACATGATCTCCTTAAGATCCCATAGTTTTGAATGGCTTGCATTTACATAATGACTTTTCTCCTATTCCCAAATAGTTGCTTTAGAGCAGGTTTGGAGGCATGCTTGCTTGGGCTTAGCTAGAGCCCTGTGAGTAAAGGTACAAGAGCTGCACCCCATCTGGCATGGAAATTCCTTCTGGTCTTTAAGGTAGGGCTTGTTGGATGCGTGATGTGGAAGGCACAGCGTGGGCCCTGATCAGCTGATGGGGGTGTATATCCGGCCACATCAAAAGATGAGCTAAGCCCCTGGACTTAACATGCATCAGAAAACTCTTCCCTTGTCCCCTTTTTCCACGGAGGTTGCTATGGTGGTCAGAGAGGTGGATTTAGAGGTGACGGGGTGAGATGTGAACCTTTTGCCGAGTAATTAGGAGTGTTCCCTTCTCTGATTCAGCCATGGGCGTGAACATTGCCTGACTTTCACGGTGGCCCCTGATACCATGCTAAAATCTCTGGAAATCTCCTTGGAAACGCAGACACCTGAGGGACCACGATTCTTCAAGAATCAGGTCCTGCTGGCCAGGAGTTATTATCATCACCCCATTTCCTTAGTTTTAAGGTACCATCAATTGTAAAATGCACTATTGATGGGATTGTAACTTTTCAGGGGGAGAAACCCCATAGCTTATTAATTGTGCATGTTAAATTTTAGGTATATCCTGTTTCAGAAATATTGAAATGTGAAAAAAAGCACATCTTAGAATTGAGGAGATCGGGTATTACTTACAGTCAGGAATTATGTACTTTAAAACTTGAACTTCTTAGGAAGTTAAAAATAAGAAATCCGGTGATTCTGTTCTTCTGCTCAATTAATACTAATTTTAAGGACTAACCGCTTCTTTCTTTTCTCAGGGAATAAACTAATAGGATGTAAAATGTCTCTGGGAGGTAAAGTGTGATGGGAGATGAGGTCATTTGTTCTAATTAGAAATCTGCATATCTGAACATTAAGATACCTACCCAAATCACTAATAGAGGAAAATTCCTAAATCTGACACAGAGCTTTTTAAAAGGATGTTTTTCTTAAATTATTACAGCTAAATTTAATTCCACTTCTTGCTTCTATTACAAAATTTAATGACAGCCAGAGTCACTTTGTAGGCCCTGAATGATCGGATTTCAGGTTTTTTTCTTACATTTAGTTTGATATTTAGACTCATTTATTTCTCCAATCTGCCCCACTGTTTTCATCTCATTCCGTTTGCTCTGTTGGGACTATATCCCTCCATATGGCCCAGCCCCACTGTCTCCAGGAAGTGTTCTAGGAGTCCCCCTACCAACCGCTACCTTCCTCTCTGAACACTTGGGAGTTCTGCAGCCACACCTGAGGCACTTTTCATGTATTGTTCTGCCATTATATGTACAGATTCTATTTCCCCAAAAGATTGTGGTTTCTTCATGTCATTACCCATTTTATACCATCTTCTGTAGGTGCTCAAAAAATTTGATGAAGGCATGGAATTTTCTAGAAGTTTTCAGATGGTGGGTGTGTTACTTTGCTAAGGCTGCCATAACAAAATATCACAGACTGGGCGGCTTAAATGACAGTCATTTATTTTCTCACAGTTCTGGAGGCTGGAGGTCCAAGGTCCAGGTGTTGGCAAGTTTGGATTTCTGATGCCTCTCTCCTGAACTTACCTTCTTGCCGTGTCCTCTCACAGCCTTTCTTCTAGGCTTGTGAGTCCCTGGTATCCCTTTGTGTCCAAATTTCCTCTTCTTCTAAGGATATGAGTCAGGTTGGATTCGGGCCCACACTAATGGCCTCTCCTTCTTAAGGGCCCGATCTCCAAATATAGTGCCATTCTGAAGTACTGGGGGCTAGATTTAGAAGGTATGATTCAGTCCCTAACGGTGGGCCTGCCTAAGATCTGGAGAGGGCTTGGTCTTCTGTCCTATAAGGACTCAAACAAGGAAGACACACCTGAACAATATTGGGAAGTATTTAGAGTCAGTGCGAAGACTGTCCTGACACTGAGGGTTTAGATGTATGTTTTGGGTTGGGATGTGCTCTCTGAGCAAGATTGGCAGCCTTATCTAGACGGCTTTACACGTAGAATAATTCAGCTTTCAAAAAAATAAGAAAAAAAAAAAAAGACAGAAGAAGAAGAATTCAGCTTTGAAGGTGATTTTAAGGAAAACACTTAAGTTGACGTCTGGCTCCTTCAAAGTGATCTATAAAATAGTAGGCATCTACGGGAAGTTTAACTAATTTTTAAATATAAAATCATAGCCCACAAATGATCCTGGTCTGGTGCTACCTCCTTTTCACAACGTCCTTGCTGGTGTCTCCAGTGGAATAGTATATCTCTTGCCAGTGAAATAAAAATGTGCATGTGTGTGTGTCTTTTCATTTCTCCTTCTTTTAAGGTACTTAAATTATGCCCTGCATTAGATCAACGTTTTTGGACTTCCTCTGTTCAGATTAGAAGCTTTGTTGGTAGCAATGGCCTGTGGACACCGTGGTGTGTGTTCACTGGCTCCTTTCTGGAGCTGTGCCTTGCACCCAGTGATGTCAGAGACAGCCAACTGCTGCACATGTGACTTCACGAACCCTCCCTACAACCCCGGGAGGCGGGTGGCCGGGCTACACGTTTCCTCCCCCACCAAGTGGTAGCTGCTCATAAATGCGGATTGAGTGAATGGAAGTGCCATGTAATATACTTACTCCTTGGTGCCTCAGAACCCTAACTGCACTACACGAGTCAGAAGCTAATACGCTTAGAGCTGCCTAGGTAAGGAAAGCTTGAACAAAATGCAAAGAAAATCCAATTTCACCTATTTGATGCAGTTTTAATTGAACATTAGGACATGGGTTAAATTACTTGAGGGTCAGCTAAGAAGGTCATTGCAATACACTGAAGATAAGATCTCTACAATTTGATTTCAGGCGATTCAGTGTAAGTATTAACTCAACAAGACTGAGGGGAAAAAGCACCCAAAGTGAGCAAGCAGATCTTGGAGCTCTGAGAGAGGAGTTTTATCCCATTAGCCAGACAGTCACGAGATTCTCACACTATGGAGTGGCTTCGTACCACGGCAGACTAGAAGCGTCACATCTGGTGGGCTCCAAGAAAACTGAGCCTCAGTAGACGGGCCCAGTTTCTTCACCTGTGAGTGCAAGGGTGAGGAGTAGGAGAAACCAGGGAAATCAGACTGAACATTTTATATGCTTCACGAGGACAAAAAGAGACAAAGGGCTTGCCTGTTAGCTTTGCAATTAATTAATTAATACACAAGCCAGGTAAATCAAAGAAACTGAAAAGAAACGTCTCCATTCCTACCTCTCAGAGATAACCACCATTCCAAAGATAGGTTTTTGTATAAATAGCTACACAGACACTCTAAAGTTTCCCCCATGAAAATGGGAGTTGGGAATACATACTATTTTGTAATCCTCTTTTTTATCAGCATCTGGACATCGGTTTTTACTTACAATAGTCTTATTCTTCAGTATGGATATAGTGTATTTTTTAAAATCAGTCTCTCATGGTTGGACATCTAAGTTGTTTATGTTTTCACTATTGTAAATAACCCTATGATAAACATACTTAATGGCCAAATCTATTGTCTTAGGATAAATTCCTATGCATACCTATATATACTTTTTTCTACAGATGGGAATCACGGGTTGGTCTCCGAATTTCTTCCGTAGAGACAAATAAAACAGCACGAATAATTGGTACAGTGTAGACTCACTCTGCCAAATGCCTTTCATACTTAGAACTACCCTTTGCGTATTTGTGATTGGTTGTCATATTGAAGAGTGCTGATTGATGGCTTTGGCGGCGTCTTTCCCGCGCTCCCCGTTGTGTGCCTGCCGTGGGGTTTGGAAGAGAGATGACTGACATCCTCTCCAGCTCTTGGGGAAGGCTTTTTATTGGGCATATTCCGTACCCGTCACCTGTGACTGGTGTCAGACACGCTTGTGATAGGGGTTGGTCTAATCACAGCGCAGCTCGGGACTTCAGTCTTGAAAAGAGCCCTTTGTTTTCTCTCTGAAGGCAGAAGCATGTAGATCCGGTTGCTGTGGGTGGCTTTCCAGTGACCACAGGGGGAGCCAGCCTTATGATGAGGTACACCCTGAGCTTGGTCCCTGGGGACACCAAGTGGCTGGATCTAGCCTGCCTTGAAGTTGGCCCTATTTCTGGACTTGTCATTTACAGGAGGCACTACTTTCTAGTTATTACTTGTGCCACTTTGAGTCAGTGTTTTTTGTAGCCTAACAAATGCAGCCATGGAGGACAGAGTCTAACACCTATCTTCCACATTTATCTTTCCAGCAAATTCGGTCAATTTCTTATTTTACGTGTTTCACCTATTTTATGACTTCAAAATAGATCTCTCAAAATAACAGTCACTCAGATGGCCTAGTTTAGTCACATTCCACATGGTTCCGTCTTCCGTTCCTGTATCCAGTGACTCCCACATATCTGCTCGGGCCCTGGGGCGCGGGCTCCCCCCCCCCCCCCTCAAACCTGCAGTTCCAGCTTCCTGTTGGCTACCACAGATTTTCACACCGGACCAACACCCGAGCACAGTCCTCACTCACTCAATCCTTTGCCCCGGTCTGCTTCCCCCGGCTTCCCCTTCAAACTTCTCATTACCTCCTCCCTAATCCGGCAATGACCATTTCTCGATCCCTGAGTCTGCATGCCTCAATATCCCAACCTTAGTCTTGACTAATCCCTCACTTTCATTCCCTCAGTCTAATCACTAATCAGTTCTTACTATCCTACTTCAGAAACGTCTCTGGAATCGTGCCTCCCCCAACCCCTACCTAGTCTTCCTGCCGTCTTTACCTTCTAACTCATCATCACCCCTGGCACCAGAATTAAGGTCTTGAGTAACCAATGAACCGGTGTGATGCTGTTAACAATATGCCCCCCTCCCGATCCGTTGGCAGCTGTCTGGCCCTTCAAAATTCAACCCTGTACCATTACAACACGTGCAAAGATGTCCAGCATGAGCTAGCCCAAGGGGTTGCAGTGGTCAAACAGACTAGCTACCAAAATGTTCATTCAAAAACACCTAGTTCTTGCATTGTTTTTCCCCCTCGAGCACTAGGAAGAGGATGTACAGAGCATGGAAATTCTTCTTAGACTATTTTCTCTTCCATTGTCTTCACACACACCTTCCCCCCCCCCCCCCCCCATGCATTTCTATCTCCTTAACAAGCACCTGGGCATTCTTCCCTTTTCCTGTTGATGCTGTGCCACAGAAGCACAAGTAAACCAATTTGCCAAAGCAGGGTTTCCCTTAGAGAACGGGGAACACAAAGAAAAGGAGCGGGTGAGACCCAAATCTCCTTTATGGGACAGTGAGAAAAAGGCTGGAAACACTGTTAGTGGCGACTTTGATTTCCAGCGCCCCCCACTCCCACCAGGACACGGGACGTGCTATGGCCACATAACATCGTTTGCTGTTTCCTGGCCACATCTGGAACCCCACACCTACACCGTTTCCTGTGCTGTAATACCTTCTGGGAAGTTCTCTGGGAATGCTTCTACTCTCCTCTGTCTGCTAGCACCCAGTGACTCCTCCACTGACAGTCCTTTTCATGTGCTGTAGGAGGGTTCAGAATCAGGATAACTTCAATTTTAAGAAAATGGGCATTCAATTTTAAGAATGTTAAGTGGATAGACACTGCCCCCCCCTCCCGCCCCCAGTATCCAGATTATCTATCACTGCCACCGCAGAACGTTAACACCTGAAAACGCACTTCATGGATACCAAAGGTAAGTCCATTCTCACCTTCAAAATGTTGCCTCCAGAAGAATTTGGGGGTCATGCTAAACTGCAGCAAAGGCAAGGGAAAAAGCCTACCTCTGAGAGGGGGCAGGGTAAGCATCAGATAGGAGTCAAGAACAGTGCCACAAAACAAGTGCTTCAAATCTTTGTTGCTGAAGGAATGAGTCTACCTCTGGTACTTCCCAGGGGATATCCAGAGAGAGGGCAAGAAGATAGGGCTTGTTAAAGTTGGAAGGTTCTATCGCTTCTCTCCCCTTCCAGCAAGGGAAAGAAGTGAAAGGTAGATGGGTTTTCTACCAGAGATTTTTAAGTTCCAGAATCACAGGACGATCCGGTCCCATTCTCTTAACCAGACTCCTAACTTCCGTGAACTTTTTGAACATGCTGACCTTTAAATTTGTCCTGCACAAAGAGACATCTTACAAGTTGGCCAAGCTGACCGGTAAGCCTTTTAGGGCAGAGCACATGCCCCGTGCGTTTGCGGATCCCAGATACTTCGTCCTAGTGGATCCTCGGGTAGCTCCGAGGCCACAGCCCCATTTTTTACGGTGGGGCTACTCCCACCAATAAACTGTTGACGCTTAATGGGATAATCGGGATATACGCCTACTCAGAGGTTTTGGAGCAGGGCCCTCCCACCTTGGCTGCAAACTGGGATCACCTAGAATTTTAATAAATATTGGGTCGCATTCCGTATCAATTCTCTTTTAATTGGTCTGGGGTGCTACCGGGGCGGGGTTAAAAAAAAAATCTCTCCAGGTGATTCTAACCGGGACTGAAAACAACCCGTTTACAGGCTGTCAATGCAGGCACCGGCCGATGAGGACCAAAAGTTTGCGCTCCTTTTCTTACCCCCGCAGTCCCTGAGGCCTCACTCCCAAACCTACGCCTGCGCATCGACGCCGAGGGGCGAATTTCGGGGAAACGGGCCGGGGCCGGCGGGCGCGCGCACACGCTTGTGACCACGCCTCACCTACGAGCAGGCGTGCGGCCTCGGGGGCGCGCCCGCGCGCCCTCCGCCCGCGCCTCCTGGTCCTCTCGCGAGGAAGTCCGGGCGCCGGAAGTGCCCGGAGCGCGCGGCGGCGGCGGCGCTGTGCGCAGGTTCGGGCGCGCGGTGGGTGGAGGGCGGGAGAGGGCTCCCGGGCCGCGTGGGCCGCTGAGGGGGCGGGTCTCGCAGGTACCGCCGGGGCCGGAGCTCTCCGGCGAGGCCCGAGGGCGGGGCGGCTGCGGGAGGCCCCTGCCGGCCTCCGACTGGGGCGTCCTTGCGGGGCCGCCCCCATGTTGCGTTTTCCGACCTGTTTCCCATCCTTCCGGGTGGTGGGAGAGAAGCAGCTGCCGCAGGAGATCATTTTCCTGGTCTGGTCACCCAAGCGGGATCTCATCGCTTTGGCCAACACGGCGGGCGAGGTGAGTGAGCCCGACCTGACAGCAAGCGCGTTGCAGACTGCCCCAGCCTCAGTTTCCCGTTCGGTGGACTTGCCGGGCCGCCTGTGTACCACGCCCTTTCCAAGCAGCTGTGAACCTTAAGTGAAAGTGTAAGGGCCCCTATAAGGGAAGGATCATTGATGGGCCCATTTTCCGTATTCCATGGCAAAAACAACAGTTTTCGCACAGTGCTGCATTCCCAAGTGCCCTTGAGTCATTTATTTGTTAAATGGGCTTTTTAAAACCCCATAAGGCATCATTCATGAACCAGACATAGTAGTAAAGCCACAGACCTTACCCTAAATTTGCTTAGGGTTTAGTAACAGAAGAAAGAAGAGTTACTGCCATCCTGTAGCTGCAAATGTGCGTGCATGTAGCCGCCACAGAGGACGTGTTTCAAAATCTAGAATCTGTTGTCCAAGCTCTGTACTGTGGGTCGGATAGCTACCTCCTGGTAAAAATACCTTTAAATTTAGCAAGAGAGTGAAAGGTCCCTGAGTGTCCTCAGTGGGCATTTCTTGTTTGTAGCTTCATCAAGTCTAAATCCGCTGTGTCTGCCTTTCTCCCGAGAGTTTTTAATTACCTGGCAGCCATTGTGTAAGGAAACCTTCAGCTGTGCATCTTTCCTCCTCTGGCTTTTTGGCACGTTTCCTGATGGTTGCCTGGCCAGGTGGGAGTTGTGTTGTGTGCAGACAAGCTTGGAAACTAGGTGGTAAGGAACACTTAGCAGCCGGCAAAGCTGCACCACTATAATGACTCCTAATGACTTCTCACCGGGTACGCATGTCTCCTCTCTCAAGTCCCTCCATGAAATCTTCTGGTCTCTCTCCTTTGCCACTGCCCCTCAGAAATCCTCATGGTCTAGAGAGGATTGCAGACAGTACAGCCACACAGCTCCTAGTGTAGGAGGGACGGGCGAGAATGGGGCCTGAGTGCGACTAGGTGTGTGGGTGTAATAGTGGGCACTTGTTTCCATGTTCTCAGTGAAGAAGAAAGAGCGCTGTGTAGGATGGAGAAGAAAATATTGGAAGTTTGGGGAGAAAGGGGTATGAAAGGCTGACAAGGCAAGTGGACTACGGAAGTGTAGTAAGATTGCTGGTCAGTATTAAGAGCCACGGGGGGTTGGTGGTCTTGTAGTTTGAGAGGGAACCTAGTGAGCATGGTTGTGTCTCTGCTGTTCTGTTGGACTGTGTGGGCGCAGGCATGGTTGGGTTTAACCAGGGTTGTTTTGCAAGTGTGACCTAGCAAGAGAGATGCAAGAGAGTTAAAGTTACACGGAAGAGGAGCGATTGTAATGATGAACCTTGGATTCTAACGTGATTAAGTATGGAAGTAGCATGTGTGAGTGAGCGACAGTGAGTAAGTGGAATCAGTGGGTTGTATGACATGGTTCCTACCTGGTGGAAGAATTGCAGTTGGTTATTAGTAGGGATGAGCTGGAAGGATAGAGGCACGATGGAAAGTGGGAGGTTTGGAACATTATGGCGGCACTTGTAGCTGAAATGATGACAAGGTTAAGGGCATGACCCTGGGAGTTACGGAGGTGAGTTGAAGACGCCATCGTTAGAAGAAAGGCAGTTGAGAACGGAAAAGCCAGGACACCATAGCTCTTGAAATCTCCAGGAAAGATGATGAATAGCGTTGGGGAGCATGAATGAGGCAGGGAGGAGTCCAGATCTTCCAGGAATGAGGAGAATGGCCTCGGGGTCTATAGATGACTGTAGTTAAGAGGGATAGTAGGTAGCATGATGTGACTGGGTCTGATTCACAGTTAGAGGATTTTAGAGAAGAAAAGTCATCCAGAAATGGCATTGGGCATCAAGGAGGAAACCTACTTCATCTCCTGGCCGGGTAGGATGGGGAACATGGGGTACAAAATGGCTGTCATCTGAGAATCCTGCAGGGAAAAGGTGTCCTTGGGTGAGGAACATGTTTCAGAGAAGAGAATGAAGATGACACCTTAAGGGTACCTGACCGTGAATTCCAGAGGGCACAGAGGAAGCGTTTCAGAAGTGGGGAATGGCAGAGATGGGCTCCAAAAAGCACTGAGCTTAGTGGATGAAGGATTCCTTGGGAGGCTTGGCTTCCCTGTGGGGGGCCCTGTACTGAGAGTGAAGGGCGCTATGAGACAGGGCAGGAAGAGGGGAAGCTGTGGTGTGGGGAACTGAGACGGTGTGGAAGGGTCTTCGGGAGCATGTGCAGTTTTGAGGCCTTTTCTTCCTTCTTTTCAATGGTTGGATAGAGGATAGAGCAGGGACAGCCTTAGTTTTGACTTAGTAGGCACCATCTTGACCCTCCATGGTGGGAATTTACCCAAGTGGAAGTGGAAATTTAGAATAAGTGACCTGTCCAAGCTCTGTGACCATTAAGTGACACAGCTGAAGTTCAATACCGAGGTGTCTGATTCCAAGTTTAGTGTTATTTGACCATATTACAGCTACCTTTCTAGTGCTGTTTATGTTATTTTTTTGTCATCATCTTCTTGGACAACCTCATTCCTTACTAAAAGATAAGTCTCCTGTTGACCTAGAAGATAGGAAAATGTGTAGAGTACAGGATCAAATTAGATCTTGTTTCACCCATCTTTTTGAGTATACCTTAAGTTCATTTAGACCTTTCTAAATTCTAATTTCTTCTGATAGTAAATATTATGCTTGAGATTGTTTTTTTAAACTGTTTATTTTTGAGAGAGAGAGTGTGTGTGTATGTGCGTGCCCATGTTCATGGGGGAGAGGCAGAGAGAGAGGGAGACAGAGGATCCAAAGTGGGATCTGCGCTGATGGCAGAAAGCTCCAGGAACCACGAGATCATGACCTGAGCCGAAGTCGGATGCTTAACTGACTGAGCCACCCAGGCACCCCTACTTGAGATTATTTTTAAAGATGTTATAGCAGGGATCTAGGTTTATTTCATCTTTGGAAATGGAGTTTTTATTTTTTGCCATTGTATCTGCTTTGTCTTAGGTATTACTTCATCGACTTGCAAGTTTTCATCGAGTTTGGAGTTTTCCACCAAATGAAAATACAGGAAAGGAAGTGACCTGCCTGGCTTGGAGACCAGATGGCAAACGTAATAACTGGATTATTTAAAAATACATTACTATTCACAAGAAGAATTTTGTAAAGGAATCTTATTTCCAGAAAGAATTTATTGTGCTTATTATATTTTTATTGTATACTTAATGTCAGTTTGGAAACTTTGTTTTTTGGAATGCTTTAAAGTGTTTTCATAGAACTGAGATTAATTTTACTATGTTGTTTCTTGGCAGAGATCTCTCTAAAGAGAAATCTGACTTCTTGGCAAAGATAACTCCTAAAGTGAAATCTGATGGAATATGCAAAATACTTAGGTTTTATTCTTTATGCTGTTTTGTCCTGCACTGATGGCCCAAGCTCATCTTCCATTCACTAGTCCATTCAGTGCCACTGTGGCCTTTTCTCCCAAAATTGTATGTTAACATTAAATGTGTGGCTCATAAATATTCTGTCTTCACAAATGCTTGCCTCACCCGAAGGACTCTCAGCTCTGACCCCATTCCTTCCATTTCTGTATGACCTTTCTCCTGGTGCCCTTTATTTTGTAGCTTGTTATGGCTTTGACAAGTAAACTCTCTCCTTCCCTGTTGTTTTACAATGACAGTAGTTATTTGAGCTGTTGTGCACATACAGTCCATACAGTAAGATGCTGTAAATTGTACAGCTTAAAGTTCATCTGTTACCATTGGTGCTTTAAGAAGAAAAGCTGAATTGTTTTGTAAAATGATATGTATTCCACATCGCTCACTTTTTTTTCTTGTAAATATAAATGAGTATGCAAAAACACCCTGAAAGCCTCAGCTGTTTCTGGCTGTACTCCATTTATTCAGCTCTTGTTTTATCTTTTATTTAAAAAAAAAAAAAATGTGTAGAATTAGAGGGTTTTTATAAATAACATCATGAGATCTTGTACTATTCATCCAAAAACACCAGAGTCTCAAATATAAATCATGAAAGTCAGTGTATGTTGATTACACTGTGTATGTATACACACACACACACACACACACACACACACACATACGCATATAGATAGATGATTTCTTAATCATTAAAAAATAAGCTTTGTGTTTTTGGACAGTGAAATAAAGTTTTGTTAGGTAGTGATTATTTCAAGATTGCTTTAATTTGTTTTGAAGAGGAGACCTGGATTGCCTCACATCCAGCAAAATTGCATGTGTTGGTATACAATGAAACTCAAAGCCGTCTACTTAGAAATTCCTAAATTTGGTTTGTTATGAAGATATCAATGACTTATGTGGAGAAACTGTACAATATAATTCAGCCACAGTGAAAGGAAGAACTCACCTCAGTATTTGATGGCCTTGTTTCTCATTAAGGGTTAGAAACAAAAGAAATATAAAACCTTCTAAGAACCAAGCAGATGGAATTACTTCCAAGACAAGCAAATCTTGGTGATATGCTGTTGTTTATCTGTTGAGACCTGTATCTTCCGCTTGGTAACAGGGTTCCGGTCCAGAGGCTTTGAGGTGTAAGATGTTAAGTGCAGCACACGAGAAAGTAGTAAGTCGCTCATGAACGTTTGAGCATTTGCAAATAAGCTTAGATAACAGCAAAACTATGTGCAAAGATATCTTTCAGTTTTTAAAATATTATTTAGAGGAAGGATTTTTAGGTTAAATAATTTCTATGATTATGATGCATTTGAAATAGTAAAACCGGACAAGAAGTGAAATAGCCCTTTAGTTTTCTGGAACGTTGCTATAATTTATCCTGATTGTTTCTTCTTGTTTCAGTTTTGGCCTTTGCTCTTGCTGACACCAAGAAAATTGTTCTGTGTGATGTAGAAAAACCTGAAAGCTTGCACTCTTTTTCCGTGGAGGCTCCAGTTTCTTGTATGCATTGGATGGAAGTGACTGCAGAAAGCAGGTGGAGTCCTAAACAGAGAACCCCGATAGTTACAGCAGGGCAGTCGTGCAGCTTCCGTTTTTTAACATGGAGACTTAAGACTCTCTGAGTGTTGACCATGGACACGTTGCATTTAACTTTGGGTTTTAAGTTTATCAAGATGACATTTTTTTAATGCTTTGTTAGATTTTTTTTCTTCTAAAAATGTGTGTTTTCTTTACTGGACCAATAGTGCCTGAATGGCTAAGATTTTTCTTTGCTTTTTTATTTTTAGGAGTTTATATCAGTGATTTATACTTTCAAGTAATAGATATTAAAATTACTAATTACAAATTGAGGTTCTTTTTCTTTTCACCATCTATTTTTGGCAGAGCTTTGTTTTTTTTGCATCTTAGTAGATATCCTGAGTACAAAAAGTGCTAAATTGAGCACTCTGTTCTGATGCTAAATGAGTTCTCTCTGTATCCATGGTCCTTATAGTTTCCTTGCTTCATGAAAATAACTTTTTGCCTTAGTCTACAATCAAATAATACACCAGGCTTGCAGTAAAGATGGTGTAAAGGATAGGTGGGTTTAGCTAATACTGAAAATAAAGGTTTTTTCTTTTTTTGTTTAGGAAATATGGTAATTTTGTTTTCAGTAGCTTTTCCTTTCTAATTAGGTTTTAAGTTAATATCAGATTAACTAAGGGCGGGTCTGTGAAGAATTGGATAACAAGGATGTAACGTGGTGTTTGAAATTCACTATAGATAAAACAGTGAATATAGCAAATTTAGATATGTGCTACCCATCATCATCAGGGTAAGCAAATGGTCACGTGAATATATAGATGCTTAGAGGAGCAGAGTATGCCGTGTCATTTCTGTGACATTCTAGGTACCTGCAAAGTGTATCCCTAACATACTTTATACTAATAATTTAGAAATATAATATGGAGGGGCGCCTGGGTGGCGCAGTCGGTTAAGTGTCCGACTTCAGCCAGGTCACGATCTCGCGGTCCGTGAGTTCGAGCCCCGCGTCGGGCTCTGGGCTGATGGCTCAGAGCCTGGAGCCTGTTTCCGATTCTGTGTCTCCCCCTCTCTCTGCCCCTCCCCCGTTCATGCTATGTCTCTCTCTGTCCCAAAAAAAAATAAACATTCAAAAAAAAAATAAAAAAAAAAAAAAAAAGAAATATAATATGGAGATTCCAGGGTCTCAAAGGGCACCTAGTTTGTATGAAAGTGGAAAAAAGGTTTGCCAAGTCACCACTTTTTCACCTTTTCACTCATTTATTACTAACCTTAATATGGAGGTAGAATTCAGAAGAGGGGATAAATAAGACTTAACACTAAACCCTTGGTTTGCAAGGTCCAGAAACATGCTTGTAATCCAAAGCACTCGTATATCAAAGCACATTTCAAGAACCATTGGCTCAGTTATGATCATGTGACATTTGGTGTCAGGTGCAGCTTGTATTGCAAGACTTCTCTTGTTTATCAAGTTAAAACTTATTAGAACTATTTGCTCCTCTTGCTGAACACTTGCAGAACAAGTTACCCTCAATCCAAGGTTGTACTGTATTTCAGAATACGTAGTATTATCTCATATACCTGCCAGGTTGTCAGTTCCCCAAATGTATATAAGCTGTTGAACCCACAGTTAAATGATATGGTAACTGCGGTGTTCTCTAAAATTATTCTTGGTACTCATATGTTCATAAATATCATAAATTCTTAGTATCTAAAACTGAATACCTAGAGAAAATTGTTGAGGAATATTTGTTCCTCTAAGTATAAAGTGGCTGGGTTTTTTTGTTTTTTGTTTTTTTTGGCAGAAATAAAGCCCCTTGTAAGTGAGGAATTTCCTATTTTTCTGTTTCCTGTTTGCGATTGCCATAATGACTGTTTTACAATACTAAAATATGTGTGCATCTGTTTACTTCATAATGTATAATATATAAAACTGAGTATTTCTTTTAAAAATACTATTTTTTAATGGAAAGACAGGTAAAATCTTTGATATTTTTGTAATGCCTCTGCTTTTCTTTTCAGTGTTCTGACATCCTTTTATAATGCTGAAGATGAATCAAATCTTCTCTTACCTAAATTACCTACACTGCCAAAAAAGTAAGTATCAGAGTTTAATTTCATCGCAGATTTCTCTTTACTTTTAATACTGTGATACTTTTCTCATGTGTTTTAAAAAATACATTTCTGTTGTTTTTACACCAGTCTCTGTTTTTCTCTAGTTATAGCAACACCTCAAAAATATTTAGGTAAGCTCTGCCTTTTTGTTTTCAATTAAGATAATCTTTTATTAGTTGAAAGATGTAGTTGAAAGGTAACCTAATTTATTTTTATATTTTAGTGAAGAAAATTCTGATGAAATTATTAAGCTTTTGGGAGACGTCAGGTAAATCTTGCAAAGATCTTAAGTCTCATGTCTTTAAGTTGCTACTTGAGGCAGAATTTAGGGTTTCAAGGGCAGTTCCTTTACTTGTCATGGTATTTCATTGCTGACAAACCTCAGAACAGTATACAGGCATGAGTATCATTTACTTGTTTTTGTGTGGTCTTGGATTGTGTCAAGTTTAATAATGCTATACTGTACCTTGATTTATTTTAATAAGTAAAGGAAGTAGAAGTTACTGGAGTTTCTAAAATTTAAGTTTAAATATTCCAAATTATTAAAGCCCCTTTAATATACATGTAGCATCAGAGCCATGATACAGCCGATGGCACTTTGTGTTAGAAAGGATTGTGTTGTGATTGAGAGTATATAATGCAGTGGTTGTGAAAATACTGTATCCTTATTTTACTGTAAACTGATGCTTTTTAGGCTAGAGCAAATTTATCTTCCTTTGAAAAAAGGAGTATGTCTACTATGATTGAATATGAAGTATTGGAGAATTTGGTGTTTCAGCTTTCCTGTAGGGGAGCCTCAGCTTGCAGATTATTTGAGAGCAAGGACAATTTCTGTCTCAGTTTAAGAACTCGATCTTCTCTGTTGTCCTCAGCTTGTTGCATTACTTTTAATTAGGCTGAATATTCTTGTCCTTGGAGGAAGCTCTGGATTTATTGAGCTTTATGCGTACGGAATGTTCAAAATTGCTCGAGTCACGGGGGTAAGTTTTCCTTTAAATTTTTCGATACCATTTCTCAGAATATACCGCCTAGAATACACCAGCCAACTGATTCATGGAAAAAGAATGAGGCACTAGCCTTTTTTTCCCTCCGTTTCAGTTATTGGAGTTCTTCATTGTTAAATGTTAGGAGAATAATTGTCTTACTAAGATAAAATAGTAGTCCTATGGTATCTATGAAGAACAGGGACTGTTAGTGGAATTAGTCAAATTTTTGATAACGAAAAGATGTGTGGGACACACTTGATGATGATTGAATGTTTTTGTAGCCTGTAGTCCGGGTGGGAGCTACAGTTTGTGATCGGGGTGTGAGGAACATCACAGAAGCCATCTTCCCTTCGTACCGGGTCTGCCGTGGTTGTTAAGTCTCGGTCTTCTCTGTTAGCTTTTCTGTCCTCTTCTTGCCATTCCTGAGAGGGATAGGAAATATCGTTGGCTCTCCAGCACTTGATTTGGGACCTTGATGGAGGGGTGTGTGCGTGTGTGTCTCCTTGTGGACGAGGCAGACACATACCTTCGTGTCCCACAGGCGTGGGAGGAGCCACGCATGTGTGTTTCTGCTTTCAGAGCTCTGTGAATTTTTGTTTCCTGTATTGTAAGCAGATGCAGCCTAGCAATAATACTAAACAGAGCAGGGTATTTGACTATTTTACAGATCGTCGGTACTTGTCTTGCATTATGTTTATCTAGTGATTTGAAATCGTTATCCGTGGTCACAGAGGTTTCTGCAGGTGGTGCCTCAGAGGTTTCATACTTCCAGGTGAGTATTGAAACTTGGTCACAGCAGAGAGTAAATACAGATTTGTAGGGTTTTGATAGGTTTTTATTATCCTCTTCTTTGGATTCTAATGGTTATTAAAACAAAGCAAAAAAATGACAACAGCTTGGAGCTTCTAAATCTCATATTTAGAATCTTATTCTAGTGAACACTGTTATTACCATGGCCCAGGATAGTTTTCATGGAAACAGTGTTTTGATGGTTTATTAATGACCATGTTAATTGGCTGCTAAACCAGTTTATCTATGTACCAAGTGTGTTCTTAGGACTCGGGTCCTAATAATAATAATAGCTAATATTTATTAAGTGTTTAATATGTGCCAAGTACTGAGTGATTCATTGTAGTCCTTTTGAATCCTCACAGCCACTTAATAGGTAGGTTCTGTTATTATCCCCATTTTATAGATAAGTAAACGGGCACGCGGAGAAACTGCAGCACTTGCTCGGTGTTGTCCTACATTTAGGAAGTGACCCTGGGCAGTCTGGCTCCAGAGTCGGTGCTCTTAACCGACACATTTCCTCTTGTGGACGATGATCATTTAACGCTGGCAAAAACTTTCTGTGCTGTATGCTGTTTGTATTGTAGATTGTGGAAACTGTGTCGACTTCTATGGAGTATTTAGACTGTGCCCTTGCCTTTAAGAAAATCTTCCCTAGATTTTCTTTTTCTTTTTCTTTTTCTTTTTTTTAAAGGTTTTATTTTTTTTTTTATTTATTTTATTTTTTTTTTTAATTTTTTTTTTTTTTTCAACGTTTATTTATTTTTGGGACAGAGAGAGACAGAGCATGAACGGGGGAGGGGCAGAGAGAGAGGGAGACACAGAATGGGAAGCAGGCTCCAGGCTCTGAGCCATCAGCCCAGAGCCTGACGCGGGGCTCGAACTCACAGACCGCGAGATCGTGACCTGGCTGAAGTCGGACGCTTAACCGACTGCGCCACCCAGGCGCCCCTAAAGGTTTTATTTTTAAGTAATCTCTACACCCAGCGTGAGTCTCGAGCTCACAATCCCAAGATCAAGAGTCGCACGTTCCACCAACTCAGCCAGCCAGATGTCCCTTCCCTAGATTTTTATACCAGATAACCCAGCCACTTAGCCTCAGGATGCATGAATTCCCAAACAAAAGTAGAACAAAATGATGCAGAATGCGCTGTATAGGAGGCTTTCCGGTATTCATCGTTCTGTCAGAGCTTGGGGGGACCCTGGACTTCCTGATTCCCTGGAATAGTTGTTCACATTTGCTCTTCCTCTTAAAGTTCTGTGGAAATAGGACTTCTAGGATTGCATTTGGTGCTATACTAAAATGATTGATTATTTCTTTGAAGTTTGTAATGGATATTCTTTTAAACAACAGCTTTATTGATCGATAATTCTTGTACCATTGCAATAGATATTTAATACGTGTTTATCAGGAACATACAGTTTTTAAAAAACTTTTTATATGTATTTGTAATCATTTTTTAAATTCCTCATAATAGTGTTAGGAAATAGTGTGTAATCTTTATTTAGCTATGGAGAGGGGATTGCTAACCTAGAGAGGGTGAGCTGTGCCCAGCTAACCATGGCAGAATAGAAAATCCTAAGGTTCGGTTCTGTTAGGCTCCAATGGAGCAGAATTCGGTCATCGTCTTTCTGATAATTTAGACCCCGACTCCCCTTTTAAACTGTTGGGTTTTTTTTTTTTTTTTTTTGAGCTGGGAGGGACTTTTTTTTTTTAATCTTTAAAAGAAGTGTGTAATTATAACTCACTTTATTTTGATTTTACAGCTTGAAACCAATCTATTGTATTCTTTCTTACCTGAAGTAACGCGGATGGCTAGAAAGTTTACTCATATTTCAGCTCTTTTACAGGTATTTATTTCTGTCTTGTTTTATGTGAATATTTACTCTAAGTTTTTAACAGTCTATAAATAAAACACAGATTTTATTCTGTAAAGCTAACTATCTGTGGTGTAAACATGTCTATTTGATAATCTAATAATAAATATCCCTTAAAGCAAGGAAAAGGGATTTAATTGAAAATCTATTCCCACCCATCTCTTTTTCTCCAGAAGGAAAGAAAAAAGTAGTTTAAATCTTTTGAAAATATTCCTGTGAGTGAAATAACATTTTTGAATTTTAATTTTTATTGCAAATAAAGCATTATGGAAAACAGCTCTCATACCAGTTTGCTTTTTATGCATAATAAACCTACCCCATATTAGCTTGTGGTACTGTAGGTCAGTGTAGCCCAGCAATTTGGGCTGGGCTCAGCAAAAGGTTCTGTTGTTCTGGGCCAGGTATAGCTCATCTCAGCAGGGCCTGGTCATGTGTCAGTGGTCAGCTGGCTGGTCTCAGTGTCCCTTACTCATGATGGCTCCACATTTGTCATCTCCAGACGGCTCGCCCAGGCTTGTTTGTGACATGGTGGCCTCAGCAGGGATGTCGAGTGCAAGTGGACATGTGTGAAACCATTTGAGGCCTTGGACTCAGTGTCAGTTCTGTTTGTTGGTCATAGCAAGACACGAGGCCAGCCCAGATGTCTAGAAATGGACCCTCTATAGAGGAGCTACAAACAGTTGGGTCCTTCCTTTTTCAGTCTGACGCAGTCACTGACTTACTTGATGTGAAAGATTTCTGGAGATCAGTGTCTTTTTAAGGATTCTGTTTGAAAATTGAATAGCTGACTAAACCAGCATTTTGACGGTTAGTGTACATGAAACATACATAAAAAGCTGGAGGATGTCTGTTTTACCAGATAAAAATTTAATTTCAGAATGTTTGATGGTTAAGTGATTATCAAGCATTAGCTGTGGTCTTCTCTTTCTCAGGCTGAGTTAAAAATGATTGAAAGTAAATTCTGGATTGCTTTAAGATAGTTGAGAATAAAAAGCATATATTAGCACGTTGATTTACGTACATATTTTTTTTACTGTTTTATTATTTTTTTTCTTCCTGATAATAGTATATAAATTTGTCACTAACATGTATGTGTGAAGCGTGGGAAGAAATACTGATGCAGATGGATTCTCGTCTCACCAAGTTCGTTCAGGTACTGTTGGTGACGTTTTCCCTGGAAGGAGTAAAAGAGTGCATGATGTCCTCCTTTGCTTTATGAGATGCCAGGGGAGAACTGGTCCGATTTGGAAAAGGCTAAGGTCAGGATTTCTCACAGATGGCTCGGTCTGACCTCATGCTATTTCCCGAGAGGACAGGCTTTCCTCCCACTGGTACAGCGTAGGTGGGGACAGGTTGTGGAGTGGAGAGTGAGGCCAGGGGTGTTGGAAGAGCCGACCGGCCATTTTCCGTTAACTGATAATTCACGTAATCAGTTTAAATATGGATTTGAAGGAAGGTTAAGGAAAAGGAAGGGAGTCCTGCTCCTGTAATTTTAATTTTGAATCACACATATGCTTATCATTTTCAAAACACGCGTCATTATTTTATCCGTTTTGTCTAGGAGAAGAGCACAACCACTTCAGTGCAAGATGAATTCATGCACTTGCTGTTGTGGGGGAAAGCAAGGTAGTAAACTCACACTAGTTGCCCTTTTTCTTCTTTTTTTACAGTAGTTTTTTATTTCAAAAGTAATTCATATTCATTGTAAAAAAAAAAAAAAAAGTAGAAAATTCTGGTGCACGAGAGTAAAAAATAGTATATATCTTTCTAGACTTTTCTATGTATTTTTTTATGTAAATGTAATCATTTTCTGTGTCTGTAATATATATATTTATAAATGTATAAAAACATTGAATTTTATATGGTCAGATCAGTCTTTTCCTTTGCAGTATCTGCCTTCATGTTATTCTTAAAAAGGCCGTTTCCATCTTAAGAGTATTCAAAGATTGATCTGTATTTTCTTCTAGAGTGTTTTTATGGTTTATGTTATATTCTATTCTCATGTTTCAGATGTGATTTATTTGGTTATATGCTGTGGAAGACTGACTTCTTTTTCTCTTAAGGTTTAGATAATTGCCCAGCGTAATTTATTGAGTATCACACTTTGTCCTTAGGGGTTTGTTGAAATGCTGTTTTAGCATTCAGTACCTGTTAAATGTAGTTCAGTCTGTTTCTGGACTTTATTGTTTCATGTTTTCTGTCCTTTTGTTAGTATAACAAAGTCTTAATTTTTGTTGGACTATTTCTTTTTGTTTATTTTGTTTAAAAATGTTTTTGCTTTGAAATTTAAAAGTTTTAAGTGATGCATTCACATTTTGAATGGAGAAGACTAAAAATACTTTTCTTTTCATTGTAGTGCTGAACTTCAGACCCTCTTAATGAACCAGTTAACAGTAAAGGTGCAGATAAAGTATCTTTTTATGTAAATGGCTATCTTCACGTGCTTAATTTTTTTTAGAGCAGCATGCAATATCTTATATGCTAAATATATTTTTTTCTTTTAATTAGGGCTTAAAAAAGCTTGGCCAGTCTATAGAGTCATCATATTCCAGTATACAAAAATTGGTTATAAGTCACTTACAGAGGTATGAAAGTGGTGTTGAATCTTTGGTGTTGCATCTATATGTATGTGGTGTCGGTGTTCCTTCATCATCTGGCATTCTCATTTTGAGCCTTTTCTAGCTAAAATTGTTGCATTGGCACTTGAGGGGAATCTCGGAATGCCCAAGATTTTTAAACAATCAGTAATGGTAATGCTGCAAATCATTTTCAGACATCTTTTTACCAGTCTAGGTTCTCTGTCTGGGCTTTTCTCAGCCAGACAACCAGGAGGTATATTTTGAAAAAGGGATGTACCCTTTTTTGAGCAGTGAAGTTAAATATGTTTCTCATTTTAGAGTTTACCAAGCATACTGTTTATTTTGTACATTTAACACCCTGACAAGGTATTGATAATTATTGTCCTCCTTTTTACACAAAAAGAAACTGAAATCCAGAATGGTCGTATGGCTGGCCTGAAGTTACTAAGTGTCACAATTAGACTGTGTCTCTGACCTTTAAGTCTTGTTCTGTTTCTATCCCCAGCTCCCTTGGTGAAGCAGTTTGCATATGAATGTTCAGTGTTTCACTTAAATTTTGATAAATTCCTTTATGCTGAGTGCTTAGCCCTTTCTACGTCGCCTGTCCCTTGGATCACTGCAGTGCCCTCTGGCCTGGTGTCCGGTCCACAAGGACATTCGTGCCCCTCAAATCTATTCCCCACAGCAGTTCTGATCATGTCACTCTTACTTAAAAACCTCCAGTGCTTTCTTGTGGCTCTTAGGACCTAAACCTTTGCGTGGCCTTTAACACGCCTGCCTCTCTGCTTCATGCACACTGGTGACCTTCTCAGACTTGACATTTTTTCTTCCTACCCAGGGCTTCTCTGCATCTGTCTTGCCTTCTGGGATGCTCCCACCCAGTTCTCACTCAGACTCTTTAGGTCTCAGCTCAAATACCACTTTTTCCGAGAAGTCTTTCCCAATTCCCCAAATTAGGTTATTTCATTACACCTGCATCGTATGCATTTCCTCCAAGGCATTTATGGTAGTTGGAATGATACCCTGCCTCACTGTGTGGCCATCACTGTCCTCCCCCTTAGACTGTCAGTGCCATGAGGTTTTGTTCACTATTATGTCCCTAGCACGTAGCACAGTGCCTGACCTGAAGTCGGAGCTTAAACAATATTTGTTGAATGTTACACTGATGGCTTTTGGGTGAATAAGATGGCCACATGACTGTCTTAAAAGTGCCAGGGCTGACTATGGAACATAATTTGATCTTACAGAATTTAACCTTGTGGTCATATATTCATCTCAGTCACGATGACCAAATGATTCTGCTACCATCTTAGAGAAAATTTTGAGAAATAATTACTTCTCATAGAAAGAAAATTAAGGTTGCTTTCAGTTTTTATTTCTGGAAGTTTAGAAATGTTTAGGCAAGGTAGCCGGTGTCTGCCACCTTGATGATGGTAGTGACAGTAATTTATTTCTGCTCCATTTTGATAGTGGCTCCGAGTCTTTATTGTACCATTTGAGTGAACTGAAAGGAATGGCTTCATGGAAGCAAAAATACGAACCTCTTGGACTGGATGCTGCAGGAATCGAAGGTAACTTAATTGTTCCATAGAATACATTAAACACGCTTTCCTCGTTTGACAAATGACATGTAATTATTTATTTATTTTTAGATGCTATTACTGCGGTGGGTTCTTTCATACTCAAGGCAAATGAACTTCTTCAGTAAGTATGAGGGGTTACCTGGCGTCATTGACCTGAGAACACTTTACTCTTTTTTTTAGAAGTAAGAACCCAGCAAATTGTCATGATTTTCTTAAAGTGAGTTTCTAAGTTTTTATCAAAACTGTATCTTTACAGTTTAAAGATAATTAAACAAGCTAATAACATTAGAGTGGCATTTTACTCTCCCTTCAGCCTCCCTCCGAGCCCCTCTGCAGATACAGAATGAGAGCAGATGCAAAGAAAACAGCAAATGTCTCTCGAGGGGTTTGGCTGTAAAGGAATGGCCAGTAGTTGGGAGCCGCTGTCGGGTCTGTCTTCTTACGATGGGATAAGTTAGAGCGTATTTATACATGATGCCATGTTCTCCTCAAAGGGGAACAAGTGATGCTGGCAGATTGAGGAGAGGATCGCTGGGGCAGGAGTGTGGGAGGGGATGGCCATGTGGTGCATGGGGGAGTGGGCCGGAACAAGAGCTTATCCACAATTATAGGAGAGAAGGCTGTGGGAAGGGACCCAGATGCTAGTACATGAGCACGTGGGGCTTGGGGACATTCGCTTCCCGTTGTCCTGATTGTCTTAATGAAATAGGAATGTTTTGTCGGCAGCTGAAGGTAAGGGTGGGGAGGTGGTTTAGGAATAAAGGAAAAGCTGTGACACGGTTGTCTAGCGGGAGGGTGAACAGGCGACTAAACAGGCGGCTGCTGGTGGTGCCGAGGGCCCTGGGTTAGTGCTTATGAATGAGTGTGGAAGTGACAGCCGTCCCCACGGCTGCAGGGTTTCTCTGGCTGGGGTCAGCTGACAGTGCTGGGGCACGGAGCAGGTGAGCGGTCAGATTTGGTAGGCCTGGTGACTGAGGGGAAGCGACAGGGGAGTGAGAGAATTAAAACCAGAGCATGATTAAAATGAACCTTGAATATAAGCTGGTTTAGGAGGAAGCGGGGAGCTGGTGTGGGTGGGAGGCAGGATGAGAGGTGGTGGAACCAGTAGGCAGTGGTCTTCGTGAGACGGAGGTTGGGGTACTGGAGAGAGGTCACTGGGAAGATAGGTGGCTGTTGGTGAGTGGCATGCTTCACATTGAGATTTAGAGGGTTCCAGTTGCCGGTGACAGTGTAGGCTGTGAACTGTGGAATAAATAGTCGAGGTGTGGTGGAGGACGTGACTGTTACCTGAACCATTGCATTGAATGCTTCATCATGGCAGTCCTAGTTTTTCCATCCAAAAGTGTTTTCTTAGTTCTTTAATCATTTTCAAAGCCGTGCTCTTGTTTTGTAGATGACATCTTTTCACATCCCTGTGGACCTTAATTAGATATTTTTAGAAGTGTGCTGTTCCCCTGAAGGATTTCCACTTCCTGGGTTTGTCTTGGTCTCTGGTTGCGAGCTTTCTTCAAATACCTGATGCTCAATTTCCTCCTCTTGATTCATGAGGCAGTTTAAAGCGCGTGGAAGGTCTGTACGCAGGGGCAACAGAAAGCCGGCCTGAGTGCGGAGCGCAAAGCTGGCTGTGGCCGCCAGCGCTCGCACAGAGCCACCTCCACTCTTCCTGGCTTATTCGGGTTCTTGGAAGAACCCCATTCGTTTGTTGTGGACCTGACATGTCCAGGGTCTGAGAGTCCCTGGGACTCTGCGGGGTGGATTGCTCCTCTCCGGGGTCCTCTCCATGGATTCTCTAAAATGCAGCCGCCTCTGCTGAGCCTCATCAGTCATGTGCCCTTTCTGACACTTCTGAAATTGATTTCTTTTCTGCCGTCCTCTTTGTTTTCGTGAGTTTATAACGCACGCCTCCCCACCGATCCATTACCATGTTAACAGGGTTTTAGAAGGTAGAGGTTGTAGACACTTGTGCTAAGAATACAAAACGAGAGGAGAAATGACTTTGCTTTTCCTGTGTGTTGATTATTTTTTGGCTAACCATATTTACGGAGAGTAAATATGAAATACCAAGCTTTCTGTGATCACTTTTCAATATGAACAAAAGGTAGTTCATTTTGCTTCTTGATCCCTTGGACGAAGTAGCATCATTATTTTAGGTGATAGGTGGGGAAATTGAGGCAGTGAGAACTTTGATGTTACCCTGTAACAGCAGGGATTGCCTGCAGTAGGGGTCAGAGTATTGATTGGGAAAGGCAGAAAGGAACTTTTCTTTCTTTTTTCATTTTTGCCACAGGAGCGTTTTGATTACATTGCTTGGTCCCATAAACGTGGCAGTCTGTTTTACTGTATAGAGATAGGTTAATGATGCTGACCCACATCTCAGTAGTATTATGGAACTTCTTGCTTGGAAGGGACTTTGAGACTTGGGAGTGAATAATGCATATTACTTAGAGTAGTTATCTTGTTTGTAGATGTGAACTTACAGAGATTTTTTAGAAGTGATACCCATGTCCTTATTTAGAAGCCTTTTGATCAAGACAAAGATGGCTTCCACCTATAACATTGGAATTTGAGGGGTGCATTTGTGTAAAGCTCAAGGAAATTCAGTTTTTGGAGATCAGTTACTGTAAGCATCAAAAATGCTTCCAACTTCCAGAAATAATGTCCACTGATACCGGAGGTAGTGACATAGTACAAATAGGTAATAATGTTTTTTCTGTTGGCGTTGATGTTTTTTCTTCATACTGACCAGTGAGTATTTTTTTTAACTGAGAATAATGCTGAAAGTGGTTTTTTTCTGACTTCTTTTATTTGCAAAGTTGGAAAAGGATTTCATACTTGACTGAATGCTGGGAAAGACTATTACACAGTTTGTGGCAAGGCTGTTATAACCAGTCAGAATCTGAGCTATTTGCCTTATTTTTGAAAAGAACCAGGATTTGCTCTCCTGAAGCTTTATTTTTAGGTATATGCTTGATTTATAATATCTTTTCTAAAGGTTTGGATGTCCTCCAGATAGGATAAAATAGAATGGTAAGGGTTATTGTATCCCACAACAATTGAACAGTGGTACATGAACCCTGTATAATAATTTTATTTCTGATTTTTTAAATTTTTTCTTTTCAGAGTTATAGATAGTAGTATGAAAAACTTCAAAGCTTTTTTCCGCTGGCTTTATGTGGGTAAGTTAATTGAATGAAACATTACTTTAATGCTTCTTTAAAAATTGTGGGAGTATCAATTTAGAATATTTAAGTTACTCTAGTAAAATTTCCAGTAACTGTAAGAGAGAATGGTATAAATGAACCGTCTTCTACCCTTCACTGGTTCACCAGCTTTCAGCACATGGCCAGTCTTATTTCCTCTGCACACCCACCCGGCCCCAGCTCCCCGCAGATGTAACTTATAGCTTTGATGGTTTCTCACTCACTGATGATTAATCTTTTTTTTTTTTTTTTTCTAATCTTGTAATGTCTGCTTAGGTTAAAATAACATATGTGGATCTCTACTATGTACTAGGCACTGTTTGGAGTTAGATTTTTTTTTAAAGAAAGGGGGGAAAAAACAAAGACTAGCCTCTGTCCTTGAGTAGCTTGTTTCCTGTTTTATTCCTGATCTTGTTTCTAGATCTGTGCTGTCCATTATCATAGCCAATAGCCCCCTGTGGCTCTTTAAATTACTTGGAATTATATAAATTATATGTTCAAGTTCTGTAGTCATGCTATCCACATTTGAAGTACTCAGTAGTCATACATTGTTAGTGCTTATCATGTTGAACAGCACCTAACTAGAAAATTTCCACTATCCTTCCTATCGGACGCTAATGCCCTAGCTAAATAGAATGCAGACCATTGGTAGCCTTTCTTTGTATCTCCACAGTATCTCTTTTCATTTGCAGGTAGTTAACCGGTATTTATTGACTTGACATTAAGTGTTTTAATGCTTACTCTACAGTGTATTTTATGTAGGTCCATTTGTACTATTTTTGTGACCCCTCTTAATATCTTTGAAATAATCCAGCATACATTCCCTTCCAACATAGGCAAAATTTAGTTATAAATGGGATTTATCTGAGTTTGTTAAAACTCTAAAGGGTAAATAAAATAGAAAGTAAATTATCTGTAATGTGCTCACATCTTTTGAACAAATGCCTGACTCTTCAATTCAGATATCTTATAAACAGACTTGTATTTGTCGGCCTAATATAATTGCATTTATGAAAAAAAGAATGTGATCTACAGATGTTGGCATGTAAAATTCTTTTTTTCCTCAAAGCTGTACCAACGCTAGCCAGAATGGGGAGCCATAGTGTTTATCAGGCCAGCCTGTTTAATATCAGAGATGTTAATTAGAATGAGTTACAATGTTAAAACTGAATGGGATCTTAGAAATGACTTTCTTTTACAGATGAGGTTGGGTTTTACTCATAATTGTTGGGGTACTTTAGGCAGTTTATGTTCCTACTGCATGTCCTAATTCTCATAAGAAGCCTGATTAGAGGAAAAATGAATTACTGCTTAGTCCTTCCCATTAGAACAGGGCATTGTAGAAGGCACACTGGACTGGAGAACTAGAGACCTGATTTTTTTTTTTTTAATTAATTTTTTTAATGTTTCTTTTTTGAGAGAGAGACAGCACAAGTGGGGTAGGGGCAGAGAGAGAGGGAGACACAGAATCTGAAGCAGGTTCTGGGCTCTGAGCTGTCAGCACAGAGTCCGATGTGGGTCTCAAACTCACAAACCGTGAGATTGTGACCTAAGCCAAAGTCGGATGCCCAACCGACTGAGCCACCCAGGAGCCCCAGAGACCTGCTTATATTATAATCTCGGCTCTGCCACTGGTTAGGATGCTGTGCATCCTTGGTTTGCTCTTTTGTAAAATGTAACCTCCATGAAGGCAGGAACCTCTTTTATACTGATATCTTCCTAGCACCCATAGTAATTTTTGGGTGAGTAAATGAATGAGTGAATGGAACTAGATTATGTCTTGTTTTTTAGATATTTAGAAGTTTGAAGTAATTAAGAACAGTTTCTAAAATAATATGTATTTGCAGAATCACATCCAGCATGCTTATTCCTGACCAAAAGCAATTAAGAGGGATATTCAAACACTCTGTAAAAGCACATGCGGCATACTCCTTGACTTAGGTGGACAAAATAAAAAAACACAGCCCTCTGAAAGGACAATATGAATCAACCACAGATTAATTAAAGAAAGTATATAAATATACGTAAATGTACGTATATGCATGTAAATCTTAGTGCAAATGTTTTTGTGTAACAGAAAACCCAAGGGAAAGAAACATGTTTGTTGGGTATTCTAAGGCTTTTGGAGGCAAGAAGTGCTTGCAGATTTTATGAGAAGAAATATCATATGTTAGAAGAGGATTCCCTGCACAGTCTTCACACAAGGCAGCAGTCAGACTGGCCTGTCTGGAGTGGCAACGGGTTGAGTTGAAGGAGAAAATAAAAAATAATAGTTCAGGATCATGAGACCAGCCATTTTGAACCTGAAAATACAAATCAAGTTTAAATTCTTCACGCATTAGTTTTTAGAAGAAAAGTAAGTTTTCCTTGGTGATTTTCCTTGTTGAATACTGAGGATTTAGTCCAGTGAAACACATTTTGTCTTTGAAATGTATCTATAGTTATGTCTGTAGTTTTCCTTTAAAGACAGTTTTTTAACTTCTGTTTTCAGCGATGTTGAGAATGACAGAAGACCACGTGCTTCCGGAGCTGAATAAGGTAGTTCGTGGTAGTACGTTTTCCAGTGTGTTAATGTGGCTCTGGTTGAGCTCAGCTTTGCTGGTCACCTTGGTATTCTTACACGGTTACTAGTTTACAAGATGTAAGGCTATAGATGCTAAATATATCTTAGTAAGCCTTTTTTTTTTTTTTTTTTAAGAAGTTTGTTTTTTCATCTCTCAAAATGCCTTTAACTGTGGCTGTCTAATTTTATAGTTCTCATATTTATATAAAATTTTATAATTTGTATTATGTAGGGTGCTTGTATTCTTTCACTTCATTAGGTCTTGAATGCCTTTTTATTTTCCTGGGAAATCTAGTACTTTAGATATTACTACCTATGTTGATGTCTGGTAAACAGTAGTTTCTCTTTATAAGGATTGAGACAGGTGGCAATGGAATTTAAGTAAAATCTTTCAGACCAGGGCCAAATTCCCACCTGATTTCTGCAGTTCACTCATTCTCACCTCTGTCCAAGCTCTCATGCAAGTAGATTTAGGTCATTTGGGGCCTGAAAAAATGGAGGAGAACATTAAAATGAGCCTCAGTGGACTGGATGAATGCAGGATCGCCATTCTTAGACTCTGACAAGAAGTAGATCTTTTACGCTGTGGGTGACTGGCCTTGCAAACCAGGGAGGTCCACGTTAGCTGTTTCTCTGATGTTGCTCTTACCTTTATTTGAGGAGATAAAGTGTGTTGACTGTTGGGGGGACCTCAGCGTGTTAATTTTTGAGGGCTGAAATGGAGGCAGGGTCACTGTAAGAAGTAGAGGCCGACCCCGAGGCATCAGCTCTTAGCTCAGGTTGAGGTTGCTTATCTGGGTCACAGTCTCCTCTCCCAAAGCAGGCACCCTGCACACCAGTCTTAGCACAATAATAAATCACTAAACAGTAAATACTAAGTAAATTACTAAATAAATTAGTATTTTATTTCTAAAATAATAAAGAACTTTAGGCCGTAAGAATTCTGTAGCTGTTGGGTTAGCTGATTGGAAAATGGATTTAAATGTTTAATGACTTGTTTGTCAGAGCTTCAAGATTTCATATTCTCACAGTTACATAATCTTTTGGATTTATATTGATATTTCTTTGAAGGAACTTTGCCTCTTCATACCATAGCTTTTAGTAGATATTACATTACATGATACAAGATATTGGGAAGCTTTATCTTAATTTGTTTTTCTTTTTGTTCCTTTTTTGTTTTGATAGATGACTCAAAAAGATATTACGTTTGTTGCTGAATTTCTTACTGAACATTTCAATGAGGTAGGAAGTTGGTATTTGTATAATGTTTTTTTTTTAAATAATTGCAATAAACCTGGGTGATAGAAGTAATTAACATTTAATCCAATTTAATTGACATTCTTAGCAGTTGTGCTGTTTATAAACTATTGCACTAATTAATGGCAGTACTCATCTTAGAGCCTGTAAATTCAACTTTTGTTTGTGTGTTGTACAATCCGTAAAAGAAAAGAATAGCTGCCTCTAATAGCTCTCTTAAAAAATAAGGGTTTTGGGTAAGTTTAAGAATATTTTTGGGGTGCTTGAGTGGCTCAGTTGGTTAAGTGTCCAACTTTGGCTCAGGTCATGGTCTTGTAGTTCGTGATTTTGAGCCCCATATCGGGCTCTGTGCTGACAGCTCAGAGCCCGGAGCCTGCTTCGGATTCTGTGTCTCCCTCTCTCTCTCTGCCCCTTCCTTGTTTGCGCTCTGTCTCTATTTGTTTAAAAATAAATAAACATTAATAATTTTTTTTAAAAAGAATTTTTTCTTTTTCTTTTGTGAGTTGATGTAAGAGTTAAATTATGCTTATTCTTTCTAGGCTCCAGACCTTTATAATCGAAAAGGAAAATACTTTAACGTTGAAAAAGTTGGTCAGGTACGGGCTTTTGATTGAACTTAGTTATTACTTTTTAAAAAAATTATTAAAAACTAATGTTAAAATTTTAGCAGTGTTAGTCTTTGTTATCCAGAGTTTCTAGAAAATAATACAATGCCAACTTGGATAGCAGCCCTGTTCTGATGGTAAAGTAACCGAAGAGTAGCAGTTTTTATAAACTTTTTGATCTTATAACTCTTTTACATTCTTAATAGAAGACCCCAAAGAGATTTTGCTAATATGGGTTATGTTTATCAATGGTAGATATTATTAGGTATTAGGAATTAAACAGAATACAAAATTACTTAAAAGTAACAGTAATTCCACTTACCATTACGTATTAATATAAATACTTTTAATGAAAAATATATTTTACAAAACAGTTTAGTGAAGAGTGGCATTGTTTTGTAGATTTGCAAGTCTCTTTGGTGTCTGGTGTAATAGAAGGCAGGTTCTCATAGCTGTTTCTTTAGTGTGTTGTGATGAGTTTTTTTGGTTAATGTACGTAAAGAAAATCTGGCCTCACATAGGTGTTAGAAAGGGAGGAGTATTGTAATAGCTTTTCTAGATAATTATGGATGTTTTTTGATATTCAACCAAGTCTTGCTAAGAGATAGTGTCTTAAAGGTTAGCTTTAATGTGGAATCTAAAATTGCATCAGTGAACTTTTCCTACTCTGATACATTAAAATCCATTCATCTGTCTTGTGCTTTGAGTGGATCGTTCACTAGTGCATGATTTTATAATATCATGTGTCGGTCATTTGGAAAACACTGGTTCGCTGAATTGTGCAGATCTTCCAAATGCTGACGCCTTTCTCCACGCAGTATCTAAAAGTCAGGTTTTATGAATATCAGCACCAGTTTCATCAGATGATCTTCAAGTGCTACGGCTGTCAAGCACACGGTGGCAGATACAGATTTTCCAAAATTCTAATTTTTGCATGAATATTTAAATGTTATCATTGGCAATAAATACTGCCAGTTATTCTGCTTACAGTGACAGGCTTACTTTATTTTCAAGAAAGTATCCACCAAATACCCATGTATGAATCATCATAGCCTATCTGCCAGTCATTCTTTCAAGGAAGAAAGGAATCCCATTAACAGCAACAAAGTGCCTGGCTTCACTCACAGCCAAGACAATTTCTTAAATGCTTTCCCTTGTGGTAACCATTGTACTTTGGTATCAGTGAAAGTGCTTTATGTATACTTCCCAATTCTGTCACACAGAATATTAAAAAGATCTGTACTCAAGGGTTGAGATCTAACTAAATCAATAATTTTAATAGCTTCATTAAATACTAATGGGAACCGTCAGTATGTGGCAAAAAGGAATACAGTGACCACTCGTGTGGTTCAAGGCCACCACCATGACTCCTGGCAACAGCAGTTTTCCCCACCTGTGCTTTTGACCATCCGTGCAATGTCAACACAGTTGAAAGGGCAAATAACATTTTGCTACTATAAAAATAGTATCAGCCTCACTGACCCTTAAGGCATCTTTGGGACTTCCAGGGGTCTGTCCACCATCCTTCCCTGTGAAGTACTGCCCTAGAGTAGATTGACAGGTGATACTTCTAAAATTAATTTGTAATGTAAACGTGCACACACACATATAGATGATTTAAATGTACTTCATGAAAATGGAACACAAAATTTAAATTCAGTTTACGGTCCCTGAATCTATAGTGTTCTAATCTTTCAGTAGTTTGTAGTTTGTTTAGCGTCTTGGCATTTAGCAGATTTTGGTCACTTCACTTGGAATAATACCAATGTGATGGAACCACTTACTAAATAGAATGATGTTAAGGCGTGCCTGGGTGGCTCAGTGTGTTAAGCATCTGACTTCTGCTCAGGTCATGATCTCACAGCTCATGGGTTTGAGCCCCGTGTCGGGCTCTGTGCTGACAGCTCAGAGCCTGGAGCCTCCTTCAGATTCTGTGTCTCCCTCTCTCTCTGCCCCTCCCCAGCTCACACTCTGTCTCTCTTTCAAAAATAAACAAACATTAAAAAAAAATAATGTTAACTGTATAAAGTTTTTGAAGCCTGCTTCTTTGGTTTTCGACATTTAAAATTTTAATTCTGTGTTTCTAGTACTTGAAAGATGAAGATGATGATCTTGTGTCACCTCCTAACACAGAAGGAAACCAGTGGTATGATTTTCTTCAAAATAGCAACCACCTTAAAGGTATTTAGTGAACCTAGTAGAATTTGGCCATGTTTATACTTAATTTGAGACCAGTGTATTAGCTATGAGTGTTGCTGAACAGTTGTTGAATATGTATCTCAGTTCTTTAGATCTTTTGTGTCTGTTGTAGTTGATTAGAGAAACAGCAGAATAGCAAACAGTATGACGTTCCCATGATAGAAAACACCCTGATATTAACTGTGATGTAGTAAGATTATTTATTCTCAGGTATTCTTTATATTATCTGTTTTGTACCATATAGAAACTAGGATATTGGGAAGAAAATTATAGAGCCTGCTAGTGAGAGCAGTCTTTTTCTGATTCCAATTTGTTAATTTCTGAAAGCATAATGATGCTTAACTGTTCTTCTGAGGTTGTAGGTTCTTAGTGTACGTGTGCCTTTCATTCTCTAGGATCTTAAGATGTTGATATAGTAAAACTATCCAGCATTATTAGGGATGAAAACAAAATAGCAACCATTAAATGTCAGAACTTCACTATTTTACATGACAGTATTTGAAGCAGTATTTTTTTTGCTTTCTCTAAGAGTAATCTGATCACAGTCTATCAGTTTCTTAGATCTCTAGGCTGATAGCCACATATGTGTATTTCCTCCTTTAATCCTCACAGAACCTAGGGGGTAGGTACCTGTTATCCCCATTTACTGTCGAGGAGACTGAAGGTCAGAGAAGGCCCGAGATCACACAAGCTACCGTGCAGTGGAGCCAGGGTTCTGCTGACTTCAAAACCTAAGTTTTTAACTCGACTCAGGAGTAATCTCTGCCACTTGTGTCTGGTTGCTGTTTATCTGAATCAATGAATGAATGAATGAGGATGGATGGGGGAAGGAGAGAATTCTTTGAGGCCCAGAACTCTGCTTATTGCTCTTTTGTTTTAACTCCAGAAGCCCAGATTCTTTTTCAGAGCAGGACATATTTTGTATTGCTTGAGATACATTGATGTCAGTTAGTTATCGAATGGAGGGAGAATAAAGGTACGGCCAACTCATCTCTTTGCTGTGTTTAATCAGGTGGCCCCCCCAGCCTGAGGAGCGCTGATGGCAATGTGCTAGCCGGGGTGGCATCTGGGCCCTGTCACTAGAGTGGGCTAATGCTGGTTCTGGGAACTCTGATGGGCTAAAAATGGGCCCTACCCTTTTTGTCTTGACATCTGTGACTGAACAGGAAGGCCTAATCTTAGCTACAGGCCTCATGTTTAACCAAGATGCACTTCAGTATTACTGACTCCATCTCCTAAATGCTCGAGGTTTGCTGGTATGTGATTTGGGACAACCTCGTTAATTCTCCAGTTTCTTAGTCTAGTGTGAAGAAATACCCACTATTATTATGGAACTATTAAAACTTTAATGAAACTTCTTTCTAGCACTTTGCAAAAGTCATGTGCTAAGTACTCGATACAGGTGCTTTCTCAGGGTCCATGAGAGTCAGTGTTGTGTTGGAATCTGCTCTACGACTTCTTAGGAATGTGGCTGAGGGCCAATTGTCCAACCTCTTTGTACCCCAGTTTTCCCATCAGTAAAATGAGGATGATAGTAGTGCCTCCCTCAAAATCTGTCGTGAAGATTAACTAAATGTAGATAAAGCAGTTTGTGCCGGCACATGGCTCATAAGCGGCCAGTGTGCTCGCATCTGAGCTGTTTTTACTCAAAACACTTCTGACACTGGGGCGCCTGGATGGCTCAGTCGGTTAAGCATCTGGTTCTTGATTTTGGCGCAGGGCCTGATCTCACCTGTTCGTGGGATCGAGCCCCGTGTTGGGCTCTGCGCTGACAGTGGGGAACCTGCTTGGGATTCTCTATCTCCCTCTCTCTCTGCCCTTCCCTGTCTCTCTTGCTGTCTCTCACAAAAATAAATAAACTTAAAAAAACAAAAAAACAAAACCTGACAAAATGGGAGCTGTTTCTCTCCTGAGACCAGTTCTCAGGTCAACTGGGTGCCTGATGTCATCAGTTCCCCAGGTTGCCCACATTTCTGTTGCTCCCCCTCTACCACCACCTTCAGGTTGATAATTTGCTAAAATGGCTCATGAAACTCAAGCACTTTACTTAGATTTACTGGTTTACTGTAAAGATACAACTCGGAACAGCCAAGTGGAAGAGATGCGTAGGGCAGGGTATGGGGGAGGGGCTCGGAACTTCCCTGCCTGCTCTGGGCATGCCACCCTCCCAACACCGGGAAGCCCTCTGAAGCCCACTGGTTGGGTTTTGTATGGGGATTTCATTACGCAGGCATGCTTGATTAAATCATTGGTTGTTAGTGATTGAATTCCACTCCAGCTTCTCTCCCTGCCCTGGAAGTTGGGGGATGGAGCTGAAAAGTCCAGACTTCTCATCAGAGCTTGGTCTTTCTGCAGCTTGTCTCCCCGCCCTGGAATTTGGGGGATGGAGCTGAAAAGTCCAGACTTCTCATCAGAGCTTGGTCTTTCTGGTGACCAGTCCTCATCCTGAAGCTATCCTAGGGATCTACCCACAGTCATCTCATTACAACAAAAGATGTTCCTATCACCCTTATCACTCAGGAAATTCTGAGGGTTTTAGAGCTCTGTGCCAGGAACCAGGGGCAAAGACCAAATGTCTTTCTCTGCTCCCACAGCATCTGTTACCTGTGGGGAGCTTATAATGTTGACCTGATTAAAGCTCACTTTGTCCAGCATAGCTGGGACAGGAGATGCTGCAGGTGAGGGAGAAGCCTGCAGAACTCAGTAGAAGAGTGCAGGCCTGGGAGGCAGAGGGTTTGATTTACAGGTCTAGGTTGTTAGTCATTTCCACACTGGGCAATTGCCCAGATCTTCTGTGCCTCATTTTTTAGTCTGTAAGTTGGAGAGTGAGATGCTTACTTTGCACAGCTGCTGTGAGCAGTAGGAAGAACAGATACAAAGGACTGGAGCGTAATTGGTATCCATAAACGCTGAATCATACAGGACTGTCTCCTGGTAAAGTGGCCTTTTGAAAAGTAAAGAGCTTATTTACACAGCACTAGTTTCTCGTCTCCTGTTTCTGTTTTTAAGTATTATGGTCTTCTGGAACCGTGCTGGACTATTGTCACCCCATTGTGGCAAAGAGTAGAGAAGAACAAACTTTATTATATGTCTTTTGGTTCCCAAATGATCCCCTCCTTATACCCAGTGGAAGCATACTATTTGATTTTGGTAGGGAAAACAGAATAAAGAATACCAAGCTGCTAGGACTTGGATTGTAGTTAAGTGCGGTGGTTTTTAGGGGGGTACTCAGGGGTGGCAGCAGGCGATGATGAAAGGCAGAAGGCCATACTCGTTTCCAGTGAGGTGGGTGTGAAGGATAATGAAAGGGCCAGGGAGATTTCCACTGCCCCATAAGCTGCGCGGGCTGGCTCTGACGAGATTATTTTCTCCTAATCATTTGGTTTGCTATAGCTTTGTGTTTTTGTTTTTGTTTTTCTTTCTCTTTTTGTTTGAAACCAGAAAGTCCTTTGCTGTTTCCATATTATCCTCGAAAATCATTGCATTTTGTGAAAAGGCGGATGGAGAACATTATTGACCTATGCTTGCAAAAACCAGCCGTAAGTTTGAAAGAAATGCATGTCTTTGAGTAGGAGTGAGAATATCTACAATATGTGGCTCACTTATGCAAACGATCATGGTTATTAAGGTGAGCCACGTGAAAATGCTGATAGTCAACTTCTGGCTAACAAAAATGGCAGTTTCATATGGTTTACCCTAACGTTTCCTTTTATTGTTAGTTCCTTACATAAATTAAAAGTAACAAATACAGGGTTACTGAAAGGGTTGGCATCATTATTATTTGTTCCCAGAACAGACTGACTTCCTTCCTTCCTTCCTTCCTTCCTTCCTTCCTTCCTTCCTTCCTTTTTCTTTTTTAACGTTTATTTATTTTTTGAGAGACAGAGAGAGACAGAGCATGAGCAGGGGAGGGGCAGAGAGAGAGAGAGAGGGAGTCACAGAATCCGAAGCAGGCTGCAGGCTCCAAGCTGTCAGCACAGAGCCCGACGCGGGGCTTGAACTCACGAGCACTGAGATCATGACCTAAGAGGAAGTTGGAGCTTAACCAACCGAGCTGCCCAGGCGCCCCCAGACCAAACTTCTTATAAACAGTCTTAGTTATGGGGCTTTTGTGTCTCCAGCTGACTCCTGCAGGAGGGAGGATGGGTGTTCTGAGACGCTGGGCTGGGGTGGGGGTTCTTAGCCTGCCGTGCACTTCTCTCCAACATCCTTTTCAGCCCAGAATTTCATCTCTCTCTTTTCCTTACTGTTAACGACTGTCATTGAAGTTTCCTGTGAGAAAGCTTCGTGATCTAGATGGTTTTTTACTAGATTTGAACAGCGATGGTCAGGTACTTTGTGTAGAGTATCTGTGTGTGTGTGTATGTACATGTTTTAATTGTGTTTTTAAATCTGTTTTTATTTAGGATGTAATTGGAAAATCGATGAATCAAGCAATCTGTATTCCATTATATAGGGATGCTAGAAGGTAATTCTGTTTCCTTTTTGGATGGTAAAATTCAGCAGCCAATTTAATTTTTTCTTACCTTTTCTTCTTTTGTTTTAGTGAGGACTGTACACGCAGATTGTTCAAATTTCCTTTTCTGTAAGTGTGTTTTTCCCCATCTCATGTGAACAATGCAGTTTTGTTCTCTGCAATGATAGCTAAATATCATGTTTTGATATTGATTTTTTTTCCTTAGGTGGAATAATAAAACCTCAAATCTACATTATCTTCTTTTTACAATTTTAGAAGATTCACTTTATAAAATGTGCATCTTAAGGAGACATACTGATATTTCCCAGTAAGTATTAATCTAAAGTTTGAATTAGATAAGATTGTATTTTTAAAAAAATTTTTTAATGTTTATTCATTTTTGAGAGAGAGAAACTGAGTGGGGGAGGGGCAGAGAGAGAGTGAGATACAGAATCTGAAGCAGGCTCCAGTCTGTGAGCTGTCAGCACAGAGTCCAATGTGGGACTCGAACTCATGGACTGCGAGATGATGACCTGAGCCGAGGTCGAACGCTTAATTGAGCCACCCAGGTGCCCCTATTATTTTTAATAGTAAAATGTACAGCGTCCCTTCCCTACATTTTGGGGTTTAGTTAAGCCACCTTCTGACTTTAGGCTTGTCACCGAACTGTCCTTAGTCTTAGTTTTCACATCATTAAGATGATAATGCCAAATCAGGAAGCTATGTGAACCCTTCTGATTATACAGGTATAGCTATGACATGTAGGATTTCTTTAGGGTTAAGAAAAATACAACAGCAGAGCACTCAGGATTGTATCTCATGAATGTGTAGCAGTTCAAAACTGTGTTTTTGGTTCCTTATTGAAAGGATTTTTACCTCAGGCTAAGTTTGCCTTTCATTAAACAAGAGGCCTTGCCTGTAGAGACTTCTCTTGAGAATCTGAAATGAAAATTCTAAAAAAAATAAATCATATACAGAATACCATTAGTATCTCAAATAGCTTTTTTTAAAATTTGTTTTGAGAGAGATAGAGACAGCACGAGTCGGGGAGGGGCAAAGAGTGGGAGACAGACTCCCAAGCAGGCTCCATACTATGAGCACAGAGCCCTCGAACTCACAAAACCACGAGATCATGACCTGAGCCGAAACCAAGAGTCGGACACTTAATCAATTGAGCCACCCGTGCGCCCCTCAGATGGTTTTTAATCTGAATTTGAAGGAAGTTTTTTGAGGCCAAGATGAGGCCAGAGAGAAATAATTTGGTTGTTTGAAGTGCCCTTAATTTTTTAAGGTATCTAGCTACTTTAGTGACTAAGATTTTAAACCAAGTTGTCGTTTTGACGTAGGTTTGTCTATTTAGGCGTTTAAATTAGTTGTCAGTGTTGAAGACTGAACATAATGGTATTTTGGTCTGGGGCTTGCTGTTCAGGTAAATATACTAACGCTGACAATCCTGTTCTTTCAAGCATTTAGATTATTGGCTATCCGAGTTTTTCCATAGTCTTTTTTTTTTTTTTTTCCCTCCTTTCTTCAAGATCTGTAACTAATGGACTGATTGCTGTTACATTTGGGAGCTTCACCTACGCCACAACTGAAAAAGTGAGAAGAAGGTAAATCTTGAATCTTGTTTGGATGAGATTGTATATATATATGTATGATATGTGTGTGTGCTTAATAAATGCAATTTTAGAAATACGGTTAGACTCAGTTACAGTGTTGATACCGTCCTTAGGAGGCCTTTGTAACTTGCAGCGTAGGGGACAGGATTGCTTATGTGTGTTATGCTTTGATTTGACTTAACAATTGAATGGAACCTTCCTGCCCTACAGGAATTTATACAGCTGTGGTTTCCTGTAATTAATACTTCTGTGCTCCCCTGGCTGTTAAGAAAGGGTGGTCGTTCCAAGGGGTATATGGCTGGAGTTCTTGTTACAACCAACAGTAATGTGAGGTGGTGTCGTTCTCACTATTCTGGGAGGTCCTTAGGATATAAAAGGGTAATGTTACCCAAATCACCCCTGAGTGTGTGGAATGAACACTAATCATAGGCCAGTCTTTTTCTCATTCTCTTTTCCTTACATAAAAGGAGTTTTTAATGATGACGTCTTTGAAGTTGTTGTGACTTTTCCTGTGTGAGTCTTATTTTTACTTTTCAGTCTAGTTAGCCCAGTTTACTCAGTATACCAGCGAGGTGCCATTCATGGAGTTTCCACAGGCTTAAGGCCTAACTCTTGATATCAAGAGTTTTTTGGAACTGTGAACCGACCTCACCCTCACAGACTTTCCTTTTTTCATGATGACCTGTTTTTAGGGCCTAGTTGTATTTGTGAATACTCGGTACAATAGATAACTGACTTTAGTGCAAACTAATGATATATTTTAAATGTAATTAAATAGAATGTCACTTGGTTTTTGTTTCATTAATGTTTTTGTGTTGTACCAGTAGCATGTTATGTATACAGTATTTTCTCAGTAGTCCGGATCATCTCTGACATAAAAGAATGTACTTTACTTGTAGCACCTACAGTTGTTTAGATGCACAGTTTTATGATGACGAAACCGTAACGGTAGTTCTTAAAGACACAGTGGGGCGCGAAGGAAGAGACAGACTCTTGGTCCAGTTGCCGTTGTCTTCAGTGTATAACAGTGAGGATTCTGCAGAATATCAATTCACTGGGGATTACTCGACAAGGTAACCACCTCCTTAGTAAGAGTATCTCTCTGTCATGACAGTTAAATGTTTTTTAATGTGTATCGCACATTTTAGTACCTTAGGTATGGTAGACAGTGGTTACTAGGAATAGTGGTAAAGTCAGCTGAGCAGAAGTACTAGATTTTATTTAAGAAAACACGGACTTCGGCAGCTCTTCTACCCTTTTGCTTTACTAATAAATCAAGAAGCATTTGCTAACATAAGGTGGGGAATTACCTGGAGTGGAGAATAGGATTTCTGTTAGTTCTGTTTTCAAGCATAGCATTAATCTCAGGTGATAGTAGAATTAATTATTTTAGATTTGCTCTTAGTGCTTTCCTACCAGAATTAGGACCTCGGTAGCCACATGGAGGGTACACAACCAATTCCAGAGATGGTTTTAGTTTTCTTAGATTTAAGTGAGTAGATCCCTCCTCTAATTTAAAAATGTGTCCATTTGCTTTCCTTGAAAAGGGATCAAAAACCGTAGTAAGATGACATTCTGGCTACTTGGAATGGCAGAATTTTCCTAGAAGATAGTATCATAGCTTTTTAGATAGTGGCTGATAGAATTCTATTGGAAATGGGAGTATTGGTAGAAATGAAACCCATGGTGGATCCTGTTACTACCCCTTGTAAACCAGGGAGAAGATCCCCTTTTCATTCCTGGGTTGGTTTCTTTCCCCTTCCCAGGCTAGATGAACAGCGTAGTGCTATTCCCACACGTACCATGCATTTTGAGAAGCATTGGAGATTACTGGAAAGTATGAAAGCGCAGTACGTTGCTGGGAATGGTTTTCGCAAAGTATCCTGTGTGGTAAGTATTTACAGATTGTTTACGGACTCAGTAACAGGAAGAAGTGACTTTGGATCTATGCGGTCCTTTCAGAAAGTGTAAACATTTTGTGATGTATTGCTTTTATTGATTATGAGCATGTTGTGGTCTTAGCTGTGTACCTTTCTTGTTCTGAGAAGTCTTACTGAGTAATAACAATTGTAGATGTTATTTATTTATTTATTTTTTAAGTAATCGCTACACCCAAAGTGGGGCTTACACTTATGTCCCCGAGACCAAGAATCGCATGCTCTTCTACCCAAGCTAGCCAGGAACCCCTGGCTTTTAATTATCATGACATTGTCACTGTTATAGGTAGAGATCCTTTTGCAGCAAATGAGGCTGAGTTTAGTGATTTTGTTGTAAATCAATGAAAAATAACTTTCGTATAAGACCATTCTTCAGATTTCTGATTTCTTATATATCACGTATTAGTTAAGCCATTAATTTAAAAACTCTTGAACCTTTTCTTCTCCAGTTGAGCTCAAATCTCCGTCATGTAAGAGTATTTGAAATGGACATAGATGATGAATGGGAGCTTGATGAGTCTTCAGATGAAGAGGAGGAGGCCAGTAATAAGCCTGTGAAGATAAAGGAGGAAGTGCTTTCAGAGTCGGAGGCAGAGAACCAGCCAGCCAGTGCTGCTTTAGCTCCAGAGATCGTCATCAAGGTGGAAAAACTTGACCCTGAGCTGGACCCCTAATCTAGCTTGCCATTATTTTGTACGTTCTCATTATGTCAGGAAGGACATGGGAGATGGACTAAGATGTTTTGGACCACTCTTAATTTTCTTTGTGTAACAAAGAAATAAACCATAGATTATATTTTTCCTTACTCTGCTTCATCTTCTCTTAGTGGTGTAGTCACTATGATAGACTTTCTTCTTGCTGAGATTTCTTTTTAATACTGTGTGCAGAATTCATATTTAAAGTAAAGATAAATTGAATGGGAAGAGAATTTCAGTCTTTTCTGTTAAAAGATAGGTACTAGAAATCATTCCTATATCAAGAAGAAATTAAATTTAAATAATCAAAATGTAGGTTACATTTATTCCTGTTTTTTCCATCTTCTTCTTTCTAGTTTATTCCAGGTCTCCAGAATACTTTCAAAATTATGTTTTCAAAGTAAATTACACTGCTTTATTGTAATGCTAAACAAGCCAAAAGATGGATGCTCCCTTTACGATCTAAATAGCAAAAACACTGTTTGGCACCGACGTGATTATCTTCTCGTTTTGTTGCCATATTTAAGCTCTGAATTCTTTGAATTGGCAGCATTTAGATGTGTCTTTTTCCTCTGTTTAGAATTGGTCAAGGACACACAGTGGCTTTCTGTGTAACGCCTTGGGAATGCTAGAAATGTGGATCAGCTAAACCTAACTTCACGTTGGTGCAGATGAACTGTTAATTTCCTGATGCTCATTCCTAAAGTTGAGTGGTATTGTCATGTGGCTTTCAAAGAATTTCTAGTTTATATATGAATTGTAGTATCAGTTCACCAATAAATGAAAAGAATCACTTTTTAAAGCTTTAAATATCTTTGGGTAGGAAAATATACTATAATCAGAGGAGTGGGTAACTGTAGGATTTTGTGTCATTTGTCTGTTTCTTTAAATAGTACCTGTTACACTTGGATTGTAGGTACATCATGCTTTAGATACTCCAGGTACCTCAGTTGGTCTGGTCTGTGTTGGTTTAAAGGGAAAACTGAAGAGAAGCCACTATTGTGTGCGTGAGCTTGGAACTCAGAGCTGTGATCTTCAGGAGACCAACTGTTAGCATGCAGCCTTGCACGTAGCAGGCCTTGAACATGATTAATACATAATTTACGTAAATGCTGATTGGTGGTTGGTCAGTTTCATGGCGTAATGTAGAGTGTCTTGAATTAACTTTTGTAAGCAAGAAAGGTAATCTGTCAGATGACATTACAGCTTGTTAGAATGAGTTACAGTTTCACAATGAGCAACCAGTTCTTTATTAGACAGTAATCTGCCCCCGTGTGACTTCAGTGTGAAATTTATAAAGATTTTTGGATATGTGCACATTTGCTTCCTGCAGTTCCAGCCTAGGGATAAATCGAAACCAAGACTCCCAGACTCTGCCTTCATCCTGAGCCAAGAATCAGTACTGTTGATGTATAAGCTATCCCATAACGTCAAGTTAAATTGATGTGAATCATCCTTAATCTTCGGAGAATTGTTTTTTCATTAATTCTTTCATTAATTCATTAATTCTTTTAATGTATGTGATAAATATTTAGGAACTGGATTTGTATGATATCAAAGTGTAGAAAGTTTTGAACTGATACCTGAATTCCTTTTTAAGTTTTAATAAGTAGAATGCAGATAATCTGTTTAAGTTTAGATATAAGCTATGATTTCCACACCATTGGACACTTTGCTTTTAATGTTTAGGAAGAATTTGACTATTGTAGACTATCATTTTATTTCCAGTTTATTTAATAGCAGATGCTAAATTTGAGTTTTGAATTTAGTGAGTAACCAGCAAAGTGGGCTGTGGAGGACCTTGGGCAGTGGACTTTTCCAGATGCAGGCTGTGTGTGGAGCTCTGGGCCCTGACCCTCATATAGTGGGCATAAGCGAGTGCCTGTCTAAAGGTTTGAGGGTTAAATGGGTGTTTGTAGAGCGTTGTGGTTGGTACATGAGACACCTGATGAAGATTAGCACTTATTGTAATTCCCGCTTCTCTTTTCCAGGATAAAATGTGTTGATTTTTTAGAAATTTAAACAGCCTTTGTTTTTTCTTTTTCTTGTTCTTCTTCTTGTTCTTGTTCTTCTTCTTCTTCTTGTTCTTCTTGTTCTTGTTCTTCTTCTTCTTCTTCTTTTTTCTTGGTGCCTGACTTAATGGGACTGTGACAATAGTTTTCCTCTAATTCTCTGGCTTTGTAGTGTGTTGTTTTTTTTTTTTTTTTTTTTTCTAATTCTCTGGCTTTGTGGTTTTATTTTTTTTCATTCTTGATTTTTTTTTCCAAAACAAAAATTTTACACTTATCAGAATGCTAAAAGATTTTATCTTTATTCAAAGCATTTGAATTTAAATGTGAAGAAAACTCTTAGGTTCTAGTATAACCTTGGGTTATATGACACCATAAACCTTGGGTTTATGACACCATCAACTAGGGAATCTCTCTTAGATACAGATACCTCAGTTAATCTAACTGCTTCCCATTGTTATGGAAATCAAGCAAGCAAACACGTGCTAAATACTTCTGGAGAATGCTGTTATTGAAATCATGGGTTGCGTGAATTCTCTGGACAGATCAGTTTCTTTGGCACCCGTTGAAGTTGTGGCAATTATTATAGACCGATTGCACCTATTAGAATATACATTTGTCCAACATATCACTTTTAGTTCTCGCTGAGCAGAGAGATGGTACTTAGAATTACACTAAGTCAAGGTCACAAAAACCTTACAGCATGAGAGTAAGGATTATGTTAAAGCAGGAAATAGTGTTTGAACTCTTAGGAATTATCAGTTCAGAAATTCTCAATTGTTCAAGGGTTAGTTCTATGAAAATGAATTGTTAATATGTGGGTAATCGATGTTTTTCACTTTCTGAGCTCACTAGAACAGGATTTTCCATGAAGCAGGTATCACCACATCAAAATTGCCTGGGCCGTTGATTAAATATGCAAATTTATGCCACCTAATTTTATGCCCACTAAAGCTGAGAACCTTTATATTGTGTGGAGGCTATTTTTTAGTGATCAGTGCTTATCATTTTTCAATTAAAAGCTGTTCCCTGGGGCGCCTGGGTGGCTCAGTCCGTAAAGCGTCCCACTTCCGCTCAGGTCACGATCTCACGGTTTGTGAGTTCGAGCCCTGCGTCAAGCTCTGTGCTGACAGGTCAGAGCCTAGAGCCTGCTTCAGATTCTGTGTCTCCCCTCTCTCTGCCCCTCCCATGCTCACACTCTCTCTGTCTCTGTCTCTCAATAATAAACATTAAAAAAAAAAACAACTCCATTAGGTGCATTGAAAACTGTATTTTTTCCCTTACAAATGACCCTGATGCGAATTTTACATGCAACATGTGCCCAGTTACGTAGGTGTGTTTAAATGATGGTGGGCCTAATTGTACCCTGAGTCTGTGCACTGGAGCATGTAGAACTGGATCCTGTAAGGCCACATTTTAACCTTAAGCTCATGGTCAGCTGAGTGGTAGATGCTGAGGTGGGTCTGTATGGGCCAGCCAGGTTGGTTAACAGGCCATTAGGACTCATAAATGTCACCTTTGCTCTGGTGTGTGCAGTCCGACTGAGCACACAGCACCCTGAGACACTGGGTGTAGTGATGATAAATGCATCCTGCATCATGACTAAATGATACAGTGTTTATTGACTTGGTGGATGTTTTAAGTGTGAAAGCAAGGAGACAGGTTTGTAATTCACGCATCCTGCCCTTCCAACTTCCAGTGTTGTCGTATCCTCCCAACCAGATTGGAAACTTCAGGAAGTCTTTGTGTTTTTTTGTTTTAATTTATTTTGAGAGAGAGAGAGAGAGAGAGCCTCTCAAGCAGGCTCCGCACTGTCAGCACGGAGCCTGACGTGGGGCTCGAACCCACGAATTGCGAGCTCGTGACCTGAGAGGAAATCAAGGGTCGGACACTTAACCGACTGAGCCACCCAGACGCCCCAGGAAGTGTTTTGATTCACTCCTGTATTCCTCATTCCTGTTGCACAGTGACCATTATTGTTTTAATTTGTATGTTTTCCACTTTCAGGTATTAGAGCTGGGTCTTTAGGAGCCCAGCTATGTACTATAAATTGGTATCCGCGACTGTAAATGTGTTAAATGATGCTGCAAAATCTACTAACGTTGATAACGTGTTCCTTACCTTTTTCCCTTCCACCGCTGTGTCCCGCCCACTGCTGCGGGAAGAGGTGTGAAGGATAAGTGTATGTAAATACGATGTGGTTTGTTCTTAGGCTGTAACGCCAAGATCTCCGAGTAGCAGAGTGGACATGGAAGGGGCGAAGACCGTTGTCATGGGGTCGTAGGGGGTATAGAGCCCATTTTCCCCCCTGCTGCAGGAGGAGCCGTCAGAGGAGACTTGGAAAGAGTAGCCCCGGAGGCAGGAGGAGACCCAGGTGACGGGTTTAATGGCAACCCAGTCAGGGGAGCCGTCAGTCACGTCAAATGCTGCCAAGAAGTGGAGGAAGTGAGTGATGAGGATTAGCTCTTACGTCTGAAAAATTGAGTCAGTGGTGGTTGCCGTTGGGGCAACTTTCAGCCTTGTTAGCATGTTCTCCAAGACTCTGCCCCTGCAGTCTTCAGCAGTCCTCTCAAGGCTTCCCCCTGGCAGACTGGCTTTCTTTCCTTTTCTTGGAAGAACCGAATTCTTTCTACCCCAGGGCTTTGGGATGCACTGTTTGCCAGGAATGCCTTTCCCTGACGTTTCACAGGCTTAATTCTCTTTCTCACTTCCTAAAGCCCACTGTTATTTTAGGAGTCTCTACCCCTCCCCCTCATGCCACTTGCCACAGTTAGCACTTATGTCCTAATTGGGTGCTTATTTTATTGCCTAAGTTAGATTACAAACCCTGTAACAGAGACCGTGCCCATTTTGTTTACCTCCCTACACCCAGTGCCTGCTGTAGTGCCTAGCATGCAGTAGGTGCTCAAGAAATACTTGATCGGATTACCGAACATGCTAACATACAGCAGAGTAGACACTGGTTTGAGGGTATGAAAGAGAAATTATCCTGAAGTTTTAACATTACAGTGCATTGAATTCGTTCACAAATTTGTTGTGCCCCCAAATTTGCAAACTGACCGACAGATTACATTCCTCACGATAGAAACTTATCATTGTTGGTCCAGCCCGTGCCTGCTGAAAGTGACAATGAGCAGTCTTCCTCGAGCCACCCCCTCTATCCAGAGACTGGTGACCTTACACCTAGATTTCCCAGTCGGGATTCTGAGTTTTCAGCCTCCATATCATTTTAAGGCCTTTGTTTTTGTGACTTTCAGAAATGATGGGTTTAAAAGATGACTTGTAGTTAAAAAAAGACTTCAGTCG